CCGGCATAAAATAGATTACCCTTTCCTTTCTCGGGTGTGAGGGAACTAAAAGAAGCCGAGGGATGGACAGCAGCGCCTCTCTTAAAACATCTCTAAAGCCTAACTGCGATTGCGAATCAGCCTGCCAAGCATGACAACTACTAGCAAAACCCCCTAGGAGACATGTTCAGCAGTGAATTGAGAACTTCTTTCTATTTGAAATCGAATTAATATAAACGGTCAAGTGCGTGTTAAACTCACAAGCAGAGGATTCCGTACATAAATATTTATTTATATACTGAATTTATTGGACCGAATAATGAACTTTGTTTTTAGAAAATTATTGATAATTTCGCAAATTCTTAATTATTCCTATTGCAATATGTGTAAGCAGTGACGGATTCGGCCCTAAGGCCCAGGAGGCCCGGGCCTAGGGCGGCCAGATATTAGGGGCAGCCAGTCGTGACAAAAAAATCCAGTGATGATAATAAGAAATAACTCAAAGTATGTATAACAAAGAAACCTTGGAAAATATTACAAACTAGCAGATATTATAGTTAACTAAATTTCTGAATCGGTTTCGATAAAAGTTGGGAAAAAAGTAAATTTATTATGTACTCAATATAATGGGTGCTGAGAAAGGGGTGGCTGATACTTACTACATAGTCTGGGGCCTAGGGCGGCTAAGACTACAAATCCGCCACTGTGTGTAGTAGAGTGTACACACTACTAAATCTTTTTTAATTATCTAATCGATAGCATTATTACTGGCTGAGATATAGCGCCGTGGCATACGAATGATCAGAAAAAGACGGATCATAAAGGTTCCTTTGTATGTTTTGGTGCAATACCCTAGTAACTCGTACATAACTAGGGTTAATCTAAAATGACATACATCTATTAACATAAAATCTGAAAATAGAATGGACCTATAACCGATAACTACGCAAAATTAATTAAGCCCTGTGTCATAGTTACGTATTTCCTATTTTAATACATGAAACAATTACGTATTAATATAACATGGACACGAATCCACCATTCATTAGTCGATACGCCTCACTTGTACGCGGAAATTAATGACGCTGATATATCACCTGCGTAATATTTACTATTTTTTACTCTACATAAAATAATGAAAATATCAATCGCGATAAAATTAATATGAGAGATAACTCCTATTGATTGGAAAAACAACTTCACCAGTTCTGAACCGTTTTTGATAATTGTATTACAATTGAATTCCCTTAAAAAATTTATTTTTATTACAATTACCCTTATGTACCTATATGACTAGGAATATCAAACAAACTAACGGTATAATGAAAAATATTAATCGATATATGATAGGGAAACCCACAAGCGCTGCTAAGAACAGTGTGCCACACCTATATGTATTAAACCAGTGTTTTACCCGTGATTTCGTATTTATTTATTTATACTTTTGCACACATTAATATATGTCTACAGGGCAGACTTAATGTCTCATGGCATTCTCTACCAGTCAACCATTACACTAAACAGAGAGAGAGAGAGAGAGAGAAAGAGAGAGAGAGAGAGAGAAAGAAAGAGAGAGAGAGAGAAAAAGAGAGAGAGAGAGAGAGAGTTAATGTTGGTGCATTAATTTAACAAAACAATTTGTAAATTAAATATTTTACTTCAATACGACCATTTTTATCAAATATACAGCCATTTGAAACATCGTCGAAAATTTAAATTCTTTTTTTGATCCCTTAATTTTTTACACTAGTATATTTGGTGTGTCAAATTTCCTCAGTATCGTCTAAAAGGCTTGCTTCGGGTGTAATTTTAGTTGTGCCAGATAACGAAAGCAAATTAAAAGGGGAACACATTAAATTAAAATAAATAACCATTGTTTAAATTTTTGATTTCTCAGAGCACTTGTAACTTATATAAATTTTAGTCAAAGTACTCGTAGTATATTTTACTTTACTAAACACGCTTAAATACGTATTTTATTAATAATAAAACTAATAATACCATGTGATACTTTTTTTCGCTTTTGAATATTTTAGGTAATTGAGCCCAGGGATAAAAACATCGATCTATTTTATTCATTTGCCCTTCCCTACCGCGCACGTTTGTCGCCACTAGACTCTGTGGTACACGTGCATAACGCTTGCAATAAGGACAAATGTACAAAGATCGCATTATATCATCATCTATATTTTTATATATATTTGTGTGTATATATATATATATAATATATATATATATATATATATATATATATATATATATACATATATATATATATATATATATATATATATATATATATATATATTTATATATATTATATATATATATATATATATTATATATTATATATATATATATATATAATATATGTGTACAACAAAAACTGAGACCAAATAGACTTATTAGATATTACAACCCAATATTTATTGGGTAGTTGAACTAAAAGGTGAACCAATCCCATATGTTAATCAACTTAACGAAAATACCAAACAATAAATATTTGATACCTACTTAGCGTGTGTACAATAAGGCCACAAATATGCTCTTGACAAATAATAGTTTCAGTGGTTCGTGCTAAGATAGAAGCCAACATAAGGCAGAGAACTCAAAATTTAAGTTCATATTCAAATAATAGATAAAGCTAGCGTTAAAGTAAAATTTCAGTTACGTTTTATGTTTGGTTGGTTGCTATTCAAGTAATAGGATCAATATTTGTTATTTAAAAATACTTGAGGGGTATCATGGGTGAAACAGTATATTATGTCCATGGTACTGCTCATGTCTATAGGAGACGATTACCGCTTTCCATCAGGCGGGCCGTTTGTTTGCTATTATAAGTATCTATATATATAATCTAATATAAATATAATATAATATATATATATATATATATAAGCCAAGATTATAGAATGTTCAGAGTGAAAGGGCTTATATTATTATTATAAATATGGTAGGTACATAACTATATTTTCTTTAATTCAAAGTCGGACAAATTTAAGTTGTAATTAGGCGAGACACATTAGCCATATGGGTCCCGATAAGTGGACAAAGATCTCCAAGCGATAGGTGCCTACTAATGAACCACGTTGCAGAGGCCAGCCTAAGAAGCAATAGTGTTATGACATAAACAAATTTAAAAGGCACTGGTTTGAGATGGAGCAGTACAGGAAACTTTGGAAGAAAATAGGAAAGACCTTTGCCCAGCAGTGAAACTTTATGGATTAATAATAGAATAGACCAATTTAATCAATTTCATGCAAGTAGCTGTTTAAAATATTTCCCATATTAATTTTTATCCTTTAAATGAAATTAGCACAGATTTCTTTCTGAATTATATAATATAAAGAGAATATGGTTCCAAGATATTGCACATTTAGTACACTAATTGGTTATTTAGACAGCTATTGGGAAAACGGAGAGAGAATTTCAGGTATTTAAGGTTCAAGTCAAGATTTGAGTGTCTGTGTCATTACATGGGCACAATTAGGTAGTTGTTATATGGATCTGCATAACTATTCAATATAATACCCATGGCTACTCAAAAGCAGTTTTATATAAAAGTCAAGATTCAATTTGTTTTAGCTGTTACATGTAACTACTTCTATAGTTCAGTAAATTTGGATCTTATTTCTTTCATTAAAACACTCATACATAGCTGATGCAGATATAATAAAATAACATGAATTAACTATTGAGACAGCATTACAACAAACCACAAAAATAAATTTTAATTTGTCCATCCAGAGGACCTTTTCCCAATCTGCTATTGTCCAATTTTTATGTTCTCTTACTCAATCAAGTCTCTTCTTTTTGATTAATAAGTAATTTTGACACACTTGAGTGGCACGTCACAAGTCTTTTTTTAACTGTGGATACACTGATTAGTATATCACGATCTGCATGAAACTGTGCTGTTATTTGTGGTGCAGTTAATCATCTCTTTCATATGCTATTAATAACTATACTCAAATTTGTTTTAAAATTGTGGCTCTTGGTCTGTCTGAAGGTGTTTATTACAAATTGTTCCTTAAAACTTCATAACAATGTAATCAACAGTTTGCCTTAATATCTTCTGTAGTCTTAAAAACTCACAATTTTTTTTACCACATTTATAAAAACCAATTATTATGGCCCTCATCTCTTGGGAATATTCCTTAGTTTTACCCATTTTCTTCAAAAAAATAAAAAAATAAGTTGATTGTAGTTTTTATCATTATGAATTTTTAATAATATTGATCCATTACTTTTTTAATTTTTGTAAACTCAACTTTCATTTGCAATAAGCAGCAAATAGTTCTTGGTCATTCTTCTCAGCTTTAATTACAATACAAACTGGGTGATAGGTTGATATAGTACATTACTGCAGCGGCCAGCAACTGAGGCATTGATGGACAAACATGTAAATGTGGGCCGAGGTGTAGCCGAGGCATACATACGTGAGTCCATCAATGCCTAGTTGTGGCCAAGGCTTGTATAGTACTTTTCTCAAACAATGTGCGGAAATCAAAAACACAATTTTACTTTTTAAGTTCAATGACGAATAACGAACAATAATAATTTTTCACACGCCATAATGTTCCTTTGTTTTTTTTTTCAATAAACAACTTTCTATTTGCAATCCAGTTCGAAATTTAAAAAAAAATGTTTTATTAGTTACCCCTTGGTAGCCATGTTTTGAAGAGGTGATTCCATTTGTAAATTACAGGACAGATATAAGTTTACATATTAATTTATCTGGCCGCAAAACACGACAGATATGGATTTTCATACAACTTTTGCCGGCCGCTGCCCACATGTATCTGGCCCGTACGGCAATTTTGATTTATCTCGAAGAAGATTATCAAAATAATGCTCACATTTCCAAGCAAGTTTAAGAAAAAAAAATTACTATACAAAAATGTTTATTTTTGTAATTATTTATTATTATTTGAATTTTTATTATAAGAGTTTAAATTTTCGTATTATACATCCAGTCCTCATAAATTATCAGCACAAATATTTAATATAAGAATACATACCTTAACCTAAATTTATTCTTCAAGCTATAGGTAATCGTCAGTAGTCTTCTCTCGATAATTGCGATGTCCTTTAATTACTTTAATTTACACTTACAAATACACAAACACTACTAAAACCACTATATATTATATGTACTATTTCAATATTAAACTCTCCAAGAGGTAATACATTGATGAACAAAAATTCAGTTCTATATTTGTAACAAAACAATCACCGGTTCTGTAATGGTCATTCAAAAGTTCACATTCACTCTCAATATAGTGATGTATAGTGATGTGCTCGTAAAGGGATAAAGAAATAAAAATATCGATTGAAATGACTACATTTATCTATAAGTTATTTCAGTCGATATTTTTATTTCATTATCCCTTTTTTCATAGAGCTTATTATTCTCAATCTTCTACATTAATTAACACGTAACTACGTAGATCTTATAAAAAATATAATTTTACATACTGATCCTCAAGGAAACAGATGTAAATAATAAAGATATTAAATAAAAACCTACAACATACATAATAATTACAAGTATAACGAGAGTATATTACTGTAAAATTAGGAAAATTTACATTAATGAATTTAAAAAAGTAACAAAAATATTATTGAAATGAAATAGAAACCTATTAACATTTCTTTATACTACGAAAATAGCAATAAACATACAACCGGTTTGATGGTAAACGGTCATTATAGCTCATGAACGCCTGTAATACTAGGGGCATTACGTACGCATTGCCGACCCTGAAAAAACTGTAAAAAAACTTCGGTAAAGAGCTTATCCACAACCTGAGCTTTCGGGAGGGGGGAGGATTGTTAATAATGGAGACTAAGGGCCCCATTACTAGCAATACACCCAACCAGGTCAACCTTCACGTGGTCCCCCTGGAAAACATCGTGCTGAATTTCAAGTGTATGTCATCACGATGGGCTAACTGATCTGTCTTTTCATCCTCACCTATCGTCACTCACTGGTGCCCCGTCAGTGTATACCGATAGTGCAGGCGAGATTACTATTCCATCATTACCTATTTAAAAAAAATGCCTTAACTTTCGCGAAAGAATTATTTCACTACTGATCTTTCGATTTGTTTATTTATTTAAACTCAGATCTAAAAATATTTTGAAAATATAATATTTAAGATAAATCGTATATAATATTTAATAAAAAAAACTAATTTTAATTAGTTTTTTTCAATTTTAATTGATGCATCAGCATAACATTGCATATGAAATTAATGTCGATATTAATATTTATTTAACGGCTACAACACTATAATTCACGCTCAAAAACACGTGAGCGTAGAGGCAAACGAGACAGAGTATCAATTAACGCTTACGAGCTAACGATAGAGAAAGACAACAATATAACAATATTTTCCAGCCAATTCTGATGGCCAGTAGACCATATTTTTTAACTAAGACATTTTATTGAATTATATTAGGACTTAAGATTATTAAACTTCTAAAAGGTCTGCAAAATATCTATTAAATGGCTCGAGTCAACTACATTGCTTATAGGACGAAGATGAAACTGTTTTATGTTTTGTCTTACAATTTTAATAGATATATTCTAATTGCTTGATCATGTACTGAGGGTATGAGAGCCTTTTAAATTATAAATCTTTATGTTTGAAATATTGCATTGAACATATTTGTCAATAGCCATTATCAAATGATTTATTATCCAAGCATATTTCAATTATGTGTAATACTAGGTTTGTATTCTCTTGCTATCACAAGGATAATTTAATTAGACACAAAAAATGTTTAAGATTGGACAATTTACGTGAACCTGCAAGTTTTATCTTAGCTTAGTATTATCTTAGCAAGAGACATTGTGGGATCGATTCTGAAACGCCATTTCTCTAAACCTATCTCTCAACCTATTATACCATATTTCTATACTTAAGTTTGGAAGTTTAAAAAAGTTACTTTTTTATGAACAATCATTAACGAAATTTACAATAATTTTTACTTAAATCTATTAGAAATTTAATTCATATTGATCCTTAAAATAAAGGTTTCGCTGTGATATCAAATTGAAAATTTTAATTTTATAAACTTATATGGAGAAATGGTGTCTCATAATTGGCTCCGATATAATTAGGTATTACAAAATTAAACTAACCGCAGATATTTGTAGTCTTAACTACTACTTGTCAAAGCATTAAAAAACACTTTCTAAATTTATTTCTATAGGTTTTGTGGTAATCAAATTAACAAAGTTCACCAATTATCTTAACAGCAAGCAACATCTTAACACGAAAAAAAGGGTTACTTAACAGTAACCTTTTTTTTTCGTGGGGAAATGCATCATGCAAACCCAAACGCCCCGAAGGAAGCGTATGGGTACTGCCGGACTCCTACCGAATAAACCCACCACGGTATCCCTTGCCGCGCCATAATGTTGGGGACCCAGGTTCCAAGTAGGTAACAACCTAGTAACCTAGACTAGTAACCTAACCTAGTAATCTCGACTTCGTTTCTAGAAAATCTCTGTATGTCGTCCGATCTTATACCATCTGATGCCATACTATGCATGTCGAAAATAAGTTGCGTAATTTTGAACAACCATCATGGAATAAACAATGCGTCAGTGGGTAACAATGTTCCTAAGCGGTGTTCCTGTACTGAAGCAAGCTGGGGTTCAATGTACTGTTTTCCAGAACAAGTACCTAAACAGTTTTTTTTTTTGTTATTTTAATTTGTCTTATGCTAAGAACAAGGAATTACATAGAAGAAGACGAAAGATACATCACCAGTTGCTATTTTCCTTAATTCATAGTAGGTTAGTGTATAGAAAATGTGTATGTAAAATTTTTGTTCATTTACATTACTAGATTATATATTCGACACAGTTTATGTTGAAAGTATGGAAGTAGGTTGTATCCGACTCTGGTAGGGTTATACTGCCATATAATATTTTAGTACTCTTATTAAAATAGTGGTCATTTTTATTAATTCTGGTATCAGATCGATATTTGAAGTCTATACGGATCCTCAGATATCGAATTTAAAAGCAATTGATTGAATAATAAATATGTCAGCGAATTTCATTAATTCTCATACCTGTTCCATGTTTGAAGTATATAGGGGTCCTCTGGTGTCAATTTCGAAAGCAATCGCTTAAATAACAAAAATCGTTCCGATAAAGCATATGTAGTTGAATTTAAAACCTCTTTATTTTTGATGTCACTTGAAAACGGTGGCTGTTTATTAATAATTTAAGTAATTGCCCCATACCATTGTAATTTAATATTTATTAAGGTATGTAGACGGAGTACATACCTTGACGAATATTATATTTATATTATATAAGTAAATAGCATATATACTCGTATACAAATATTAATTAATAAAAAAATGTATATATAAAAAATTAAATCGAATTCAGAAAACGATGAACCAAAACTTTTAAGTTAAAGAACAAAATCTGTTTTATTGTCAATTGATATATTAAATTATTGTTTATTCATTTACATAATTGTTCTTTAGTAATTTTAGCCGTATATGTCATAATTATTATTTTCGATCTCTTTAAGCTTGGCACCGACTTCAAACAAATTTTGACCTTTAATTAAAAAGTTTAATATTAGTTTATTTTTCGCCTTTTGGTTTTTGTTACACTTTTTTTAAGTCAGTTTAATTATTTAAAAAAACTGTTTATTTTCCCCTTTTTAGTGCAAATAATAAGTATAAGCAGTACCTAAGTAAAAAAATATTTCACATAAGACATTCAAACTAATTTAGAATTATAGGTTTAAAAATTATTTACTTTACTAAAAAATTATTTTTTTAATCCTGTTTATCTTTAATGATACTGCTCCAAGACGCAATGACTCTAATAACTTGAAAGAGACTAAGAAACGATCTATTCGTGCTTATAATATTCAAGAAATTATCCCCTAAGTTTTACCTATTAAGGAGTTAAACCTTAAATCATCAGCTCATCTGAATAACTTAAGGGAGAATAGCAACTAACGGACTTTACGTGTCTACGATATTAAAGGATAACTTTATCTCACAACTACGTAATGAGTAGTTGTGCCTCCTATCAATAGCACAACAACAAGAGAGATAATGATTACTAGACGCAAATATCTGAATAAATGTGAAACATCATATATGTGCTCATAAAACTTTAGAGTTGCCTTCGATTTCTCTGAGATCCTATTATCAGTTTCTGACTTGGTAACAATTGGACCACATCGGGAATATACTCTTTCATTTCATTATTTCACTTGTCATAAGATATTTGTTTCAAAGAATTTTTAAAATTGGTCCTCAATTGATGGAGAAATCGGTGGACAAACATAAAAACAAGTATAGATGAACATAGAATATTCTCCTTTTTTGAAATAATAAAAAATAATTCAATTCATATTTAAAAATTTATTATTTTAGGAATTTTAATTCAATTATGAGGATTTTTTTTAATACTAGCAACACTAAAAATTCGTGCTAATTTGTGCGAATTTTTTAAAAGAAATATGTATATTTGCATTTATGCATAAAATTTAAAATATTTGTTTGTGATAAGTGACTCCTTTATTAATTCTAATTTTATTCTTATAATTTTTGCACTTTTTTGATGTGCAAAGACTCATTACTTTTGTTAAATAATTAAATATAGATAAATCAAGATACCTTGTGTAGGTACTATAGTACATAAAGCACTAATATAAAAATAGTTAAGTAATTTGATAATTAGTTAATAAAATATTAACCTCTTTTTATGACTCGATCTAAGAACAAGAAATAATTATATTCCTAAATCTTTGGCCTCGATGTTCTATCTACATGATTAAGCTATATCTGTATCTAAAATAAAAAATTCAGTTTAATATCATAACGAAATTTTATTTTACGAACTGATATGAACTAAGCAAAATTAAGTAATATTGATAAGTAATATTAATATATTAAGTAATATAATATCATACATAAAATAGTAGTTAGAGAAATGGTTCTATTGGGGTCGATTCTGAGATGCTATTTCTCTAAATACATGTCTTAAGATAAGAAATTATTTAAATTTTTTATAATAGTTTTGTGAACTTACTATTTTATGGACTATCATAAGCTGAATTTATAAAAGTATTAACTTAAATCTATTAGAAATTTGTTTTGTATTGGTCTTTAGAATAAAAATCTAGCTATAATTTGAAATTGATATTTAAATTATGTACAAATTTAAAAAAAATATTATCCTAGAATTGAATTAATTATTTATGAATGTAGTACAAATAAAAATTTACAATTTATTGAATAAATATGCTAAATGATGAATAATAATAATTATTTCATGTCAACTTTTAAATTTTCGAGATGTTGTTCTCTGTTTTTTTTTTTTAATTCAGTTTGGCAAATTTCTGATATTGTGATGGCAATATTATAACTATCTAAAAAAATATAAGTACTTTATGACGTATACGTCAGACTAGGCTGTATGGCTTTCATTTCCTGTGCTCACCCTCGAAAAGTATAAAAATAAAAAAAATAAAATCAAAATATGAAATACATGGACGCACATTGCCTTGTTGCACTTGTATTCTGCTTGCATTGCATTTATTCGTCTTCAGTCGTCACGTTGTACAAGTTTCGTGAAAATTTTTATCCCAATCTCTCAGTCTTATTTTATATTCACTCTCATTAAAATGAATAAAATGTATAGGCGCGATAAAAAGGAAGATGAAGATCCTGGAAGTTATTTACAAAATCTGGATAAGACTGTTCTCCAACAAGAGGCACGATATTTTAGCTCTACGCCTGTTAACCCTAGAAAATGTGTGCTTATTTTAACCAAAATAATATATTTGATTAACCAAGGAGAGAAATTAACTACTCAGGAGGCGACCAATATTTTTTTCGCAACAACAAAATTATTTCAGTGCAACAATATAGAATTGCGTCGGCTTGTTTATTTGTGCATTAAGGAATTGAGTTCTATGGCACAAGACGTAATTATAGTTACATCTTCTCTTACAAAAGATATGACTGGAAAAGAAGATATGTTTAGAGCTGCTGCGATTCGTGCCCTTTGCACTATAACTGATAGCACCATGTTACAAGCAATTGATCGTTACATGAAACAAGCAATTGTCGATAAAAATCCTGCAGTTAGTTCAGCCGCATTGGTCTCAGCACTTCATCTGTCATCGACAGTTCCAGATTTGGTGCGTCGATGGGTAAATGAAGCTCAGGTAATATACCTTCTAATTTATGAAAAAAATTAAGCAATACATGGTAATCTGTAGTGGTTAGTTAATGGTAGACATGATGATGATATGAATGCGGCTCTTAGATTTAATTACTTGCATTCATCCTAATTTATTAAAAATCATAATTATAAGTCCTTGTCAGTGTATTAAATCTTATATAATTATAATATATATATATATATATATATATATATAATATATATATATATATATATATATATATATATATATATATATATATATATATAAATGTAAATTATGAATATGGTATTTTATGATTGACTCAATATAGGAAGAAAGTTACAAAGTAAATTCCATTTTAGATTTTTTACATAAATAAATAGTTGAGTTCTCTATTATTTCTTTAGTGTCCAAGGAATATTATATTTTTAAGCCATTGGTTTTAAAGTGCTTTGTTTTACAATACCTCACTTTGGTAATGGTATTGTTTTTGTCAGAGAAATGGGCAGTGTGCACAGTTAAGTTTCAACCATGTAACTTACTGAACATTACTATACTGATATTTATTAACACTTTAAAATTGTACAAAGTAATTTAAATTATTATAGTAGTTTCTCACATATTATATCAAATTTGATAAATGTATGAATTATATATTGTATTAAGAAAACTTTTTTTACAGGAAGCAATAATGTCTGATAATGCAATGGTTTCCTACCATGCATTGGCTGTGGTTGCCTGCGCACGCCAGAATGACCGTTTATCAACAGTGAAACTGGTAACAAAACTATCTCGGGTGCCACTTCGCTCACCTTATGCTCTTTGTTTACTTGTCCGTTATGCTGCCAAGTTAGCTGATGAAGATTCATCTGAAGCATCCGAGGTTTATATTGATTTTATTGAATCCTGTTTGCGCCTTAAATCAGAAATTGTAGTATATGAAGCAGCTTATGCACTTGTCAATATGAGGAAATCAACTAAAGGTCTTACTCAGGCTGTATCGGTGCTTCAAATATTCTGTGGTTCCTCAAAGGCAACTTTACGTTTAGCTGGTGTACGTACTTTGGCGAAATTAACTACTAAACAGCCTAATCTTGTATCTAACTGTGCTACAGATTTGGAAAATTTAATATCGGATCCCAATCGATCTGTTGCCACTTTAGCTGTTACAACTCTTCTAGCAACTGGCGCTGAAAATTCTGTTGATCGTCTTATGAAGCAAATATCCGGTTTCATGTCAGAAATATCAGATGAATTTAAAATTGTTGTTGTTAATGCAATTAGACGCCTTTGTTCAAAATACCCTCGAAAACATCAATCTTTAGCATCATTTTTAGCTGGTATGCTTCGAGAGGAAGGTGGATTGGAGTATAAATCAGCTATTGCGGATGTCTTAATTGCTTTAGTTGAAGATAACCCTGAAGCAAAGGAAACTAGTTTGGCACATCTTTGTGAATTCATAGAGGATTGTGAGCATACTTCTTTGGCTGTGCGAATCCTACATGTCTTAGGTTGTCAAGGACCAAAAACAAGTCAACCTTCCAGATATATCAGATATATTTATAATCGGGTTATTTTGGAGTCAAGTCCTGTACGTGCTGCTGCTGTTACTGCCGTGGCAAGGTTTGGTGCAATGTGTGAAGAATTGCTTCCAAATATCAGGGTACTATTAAGCCGTTGCCACCTAGATGATGATGACGAAGTTCGAGATCGTGCAATTTATTATAGTACGATATTAGATTCCGAAGATCGATCATTAATAAATGACTATATTATAAATATATCTATTCCAAATCCAGTACTATTAGAACAAGCTCTTAGAGATTATCTTTTAACAGCGGATGAGAATACGGAACCTTTTAATATCGCAGTTGTTCCAGTTACACAGCATGTACAGGAGATACAGGATTCTCCAATTGAAACCGAAACACATAATGCGGTCATAATATCACTTGAGGAACAATATGCAGAACAATTAAAAGCAGTTCCTGGTATCGAGAAAATTGGACCTATCTTTAAAACTTGTGAGGCAGTTGATTTAACTGAACCGGAAACTGAATATCGTATTCGATGTGTAAAACATATATTTGCTCGGCATCTAATATTGCAATTCGAGTGCCTTAATACTCTAAATGATCAATTGCTTGAAAAAGTTCGTGTTTGTTTAACGTCAATTCCTGGTTACAAGATATTGGGTGAAGTTCCGTGCGAGCAACTAATGTATGATAAACAAGGAAATGTTTTCTGCCTATTAGAATTTCCAGAAAGTCCTATAGATACATTAGGTACATTTGGAGCAGTTTTGGAGTTCACAGTTCGTGATTGTGATCCAACAACTGGCCTTCCCGACACTGGTGAAGGTTATGCCGATACATATCCATTGGAAGATATTGAAATTAGTTGTGCCGAGCAACTTAGGACTACTGCTACAACTGATGATTGGGAGGCTTTATGGGACAAGGCTTCGACTGCAGCCGAAGCCAGTGACACCTTTGGCTTGGCACATACAGATGTGGGTAAAGCTGCAATTGCTGTTTGCGAATATTTAGGTCTTCCTAAATCAGCCATAGGGGGAGATACTGTTAAAGATATTCGCGGAGCGGGCATATGGCGTGATGGTAACCCTGTGTTGATTAAGGCACGTTTGGTCGCTGCTCAAGGCACTGTTACTATGCAACTTGTGTCTCGTTCTGCTCGTGAAGATGTCGCAACGCTTCTTTTAACTGCCATTGGTTAATTAGCATGCCAATTAAATTTTCGTCTATTTTCATATTATCTCCGTCGTGCCTTTAAATTGTTAGTATAAGAAATTAGTAGATTAGTATAGAAAAATAAAAGAAATGCCGACAATAAAGCGATTTACTGCCGAGTAATATTCGAGGAACGAGGCATAATTAAATATCAAAGAAAATGGATGAAATAATTTATAGGCATTTGTTATGCATTACGAGTACATATTGTTATTGTTATGAATTAATTTTGTACCTCCCATTAGATATAAAAATATCACTCAATGACAACAGAATAATAAGCATGCGGGAATATAAAGTGAAAATAATGTGTAGGTACTGATTATATGTACAGTATATATACAGTCTAATAAGACAAATATTACAGTATATAAATTCAGTGTTGTACAAAATTCATATAGGTATCTGTATTATACAGTTATTTTAAATAAGTAAGTACCTATAGAGAAAAGAAATATCTACCTGTTTATCTTAAGAGTATATAAAATCTGTAACTATTTATAAAACTTTATGTATACACACATATTTATATCAAATAAAGTTTTTAGTATTACTAAACTATTATTTATTTGCGAATTGTAGTTTATAATTTTGTCTTTTGAGACATCTAAAAAAGTCATAAATTACTACATTCCAAACGATCGGCTTACTCCTAGAGCTTAACCGGTACTTGATAGTTTAATTGAATGGATGATAATGGAATGGGAACCCCGCATGTGTTAACGCGGTATACTTTGGCAAGGCACCAATGAATGATAATATGTGAGAAAAGGCAGAACAGTTAGCCCATCATGTTAAATTCACTGGGAATAAAGTGAGTGATTTCTAGGAGTAATCACGAAGAGTTCGATCTGACGGAGTGTATTGCTAGCAATGTGGCTAGTAATCCTTATTATCAACAATCCATTCTGTTCCTACTTCTGATAGTCATCATCATCATTTCAGCCATTATTCGTCCACTGCCGGACATAAACCTCACCCACAGACTGCCGTAAAAACGGTCCTGAGCCATCTGCATTCATTGACTCCCTGTAATGCGTTTTAGGTCGTCACTCCATCTAGTAAGAGGTAGGTCGTACACTACGTTTGCCCGCACTTCTGATAGTACTAAGGTTTATTTTATTATTTTTTTAGTTAGTGGAAAAAAATAAAATATGTAAATACCTCGAATTTTTTACTAATCCTACGCCTCATATAATTTTATATATAATAGGATTAGTAAAAAATTCGAGATTTCTCTGCTCGCTTCAAAAATTGTGCTTCTGTCATAGAATTGAAAATGCAATTTAAATAAGTTTTTTTTTATACAACTTAGAATGGCAAACAACCTGACGGTCCACCTGATGGAAAGTGGTAACCGTCGCCTATGGACATAACAGAGTATACTGTTTCTCCCATGATACCCCCCATGCGTTGCCATTCCTGCGGACTCAGATGTTATTCCTCTGTACCCAGTAAATTCACGCCATATCCCACCTTTCGAACCGAAACACAGCCATGCAAACACAACCGCTTTACGGTTGAAACACGAATGGGACAGAGGTAACCAAGCAATTTACTTTTGTACAAAGTCTCCCTCTGGGTGCTAGTTATGTATTCCTAGGGTGCTGTTATGTAATTTTATTTTCTATGTAACCATTCGTAATCTCTAAAAGATCTACTGAACTCATTAGGCTATCTTTTTAATGATTGTAATGATACGATTAAGATATTTAGGAAAATAAAACTGGAAATTGGATAGGATAACGTTTGTCGAGATAGCTAGTTAATGATAGGCGTTAATCTGGCTATTTTATTGAATTTATCATCCCTTTAAAAAAATTGAGGATTGAATGCAACACTGCATTCGCTATTAGTGTACGGTGGAGGGGCAGTACCAAACTATGACTGCCGTGACTACTTTCGCAGAATAGATGTTTTACTCCTTTTAGCAATGCCTTTAACGACAATTGTAGGGTCTAACATATAGGAGTGGGGGAAATGGCTTATTAGTGATGGGTTATAATTTGCTAACAATATACCCTATTAGGTCGACCTCTACGCGGTGCCCCCTGAATATCATCGTGGTTAATTCTTCACGATAGGCCGACTGATCTGCCTTCATAGTCACCTATAATCTATCACTGGTGCCCCGCTAGCGTATACCGATAGCGTAAACGAAGTTACCATTCCATTTTATACATAAAAAAAAACACAGTTGTATAACTATAGAGTTGTTTTGAAAAGCTTTCAGAACAGATCTCAGCAGGACTTGTATCTGTTGAAGCTGAGGCTACGGTCTGGTCCTCTGTTTTCCTTCTTGATAATATTAGAAAAGAATTGTATTAAATTAAAAGCAGTAAGTAATTTTCGTATTTTATTTGTTTACCGATCTACAAGTACATTTGTACACGGGTAATTTGAAACATTTTTGGCGAATTTTTTGCCCTAACACTCATTATACATCTGAATTAATTAATTCAAGTAACCTATCACTTCTAAACGCTTATAAACAAAAAAATATTAGAAAAATTTATATAATCTGGTATACCATACCTTGAATATTATGTAAATACCTAGTAGATAGGTATGCTATGGTACGTATAGTAACTATAAAAACGATAATAAATTAAAAAATAAGAGAAATACGTACCTTATGTATAATATATATACTTAATAATTTTCAAACGAAAATTATATTATTTTTTACAATATATAAATTTAAATAATATGTTTTTTTTTTGTTTCATTTCATTGAAATGCAATCAAACAAACAGTAATAATAATATATTACTTTTAAGTAGGTACATATAGTAGTACTTATAATAGGTACTTATATAACAAGAAATATTTTTATAAGAATAGGTAAGTAAGGGCTAACGGGCATATTTGATGAAAATATTGCAGAAATGCATTTATTGTAATTCAATATAGGTATATTGTAATCAAATAATATTTCTGCTTATCATCGCTTACCTATGATTCATCTGTGGGAATAATTACTTTATAGATGTCCATGAGTTCTAATGAAATATCGATGTAGTAAAATACTTTTAGAATAACCTAGTGATTGTTTGTAACATTTTATATACGTAATGGTCGTTGAACAATCTTTTACACTTTATCAATATTATATACGTATGTTAACTAAATTTATAGTCCACAAAATGATAACTTAGTATATAATAAAATGGATAGGGATCTATTACGAAAGTGTAGAATATATTGGTTGAATATTCATTTGACCAAAACCGTTTTAAGTGAAAACTTTAATTTGATTTACAAAATTGTTATAAAATACCAAATTGTGGATTATAAATAGTTTTCGCGTAAAGGTATAGTTAACTATGTCTCACATTATATTTTTATAAATAAAGAATTAACATTTTGTTACACTAAAAACCGACCTCATTTTGGTAAACCCAGTTATTTTGAATTAATAAGTAAATAAATTACTGAACCGATTTTGATAAAATTTGTATGGGATGAATCTGTAAGCATACCACTTCAGATAAAAAAAAAAGAATTTTCGAAATCAGTTTACAACTGACGGAATTATGAGGTAATAAATATAAAAAAAAAAAACAACAAAATTGACAATCTTCCTCTTCTAGAAATCGGTTGAAAATAAGTGCTTAGATATAATTAGAAGGTAACTCTAAAATTGCATACCCATATTAATACAGAATTATGGGAAGTATCATTCTTGCAAACATCTCAAATTCTTACGTAAATATTAAAAAGTAACAAAGTTTGAATGAAGAAATGTACTTATTATAAGTATCGTTTATCTATTTAAAAGATACAGGCAACGATTTGATATACATATCATGCTCTATAATAAATCTATCCACCATGCTTGTTGAGCAGGAAGTAAGCAACTGATAATAATTTAATGTTTTTTATTGAACTTAGATTTTTAATTAGGTGAGACATTGAAACTATATCTAATGCCTAGATTGATAGGTACTATTAACAATTTAGTGCGCCTTACTTCAGTGATACATTAAATGAAAATAAATATCTAATGTATCACAAAACGTATCCTTATTTAATTTAAATCGCCCAAACAGACTAAACTTTTTGAAAGTTACTTTTTTATAATGGACAGCGTCCATTTTTTTTACATTTTGTAGTGTTTGTAGCGACGTTAAACACCACTACAAATCTGAGTTTTGATCGTTTAACTCGAACAATTACATTAGTATATGTACCTATTTTTAATATATATATTAAAATCTTGCAGAGTATATAAACGTATATATATGTTACAGATCGTGAGATTATAAATCCCATAAGAAGCTATTACTACTACTCACAACATTTCTTTTGCTCTTAATAGTAGATGATTTTGGTGTGTAACATTTATGTCAGTAATAGATAGTTATTTTTTTATAAAACTGCAATTATTGCAGAATTATCAGAGCTAAAAATAATACTAGGGTATTTATATATCAATTTTCAGTAATATAATATATCTTCTAATTAAATTATGACGTACGTAGATTCATTATGTATCTGTGTCTGTGAATTAAACATTGTAAAATATACAATTTCAGATTATACTTAGCAGAAAATGGTTACTATCATAACAGAATTAATAGGAAAACGACATGACAAAACAGGTTGAGAACCTCTTTTATTGAAGTCAAATACTGGAATATTACTCGACGTTATAAAAATATAATTACACAGGTATATAAATAAAATAAATGCAGCTAAGCACAAAAATGGAAAAAGGCAGGACCAATTCCGCTTTTTTTTTTTCAAATATTCATTGAAGTAATAGAAAGGTACTTATACAGAATATTATCGGTAAATTACCTGGAAAACGAATAAACACTATTGTTTTTTGCCATACAAACTGTATCTAGCTGCCAACTCAAACATTTTGATAGAGCAATGTCTTTTTGGTCGCGAGTATTTGAATAAATTTGCAAACGTAACAATATATATGTATATATATATATATATATATATATATATATATATATATATATATATATATATATATATATATATATATATATATATATATATATATATATATATATATATATATAATATAATATAATAGTAATAATAAATAATAGTAATATTAGTAAACACATTTTTCGTGCAAATTAATGTCAATAAGTACTTACTTCATTTTCATTATTTGCTTTTTAAGCTGCCCTTTGATAATTTATATTAATTTCTAATGGAATTTTGTTAAAATAAAGTCAAAAACATAACAAAAACAATAATAAGTATCACATTAACTCAGAAAATATTTTTCTGACTACCTAAGTAGTAAATGCTAACAAAAGAACACCTAGGCATGTATCTACTTACAAATACTAACAACAAATTAATTGTTTTCAGAAATCTTTTTGGATATCTACATATTTTTGGTGGAAATATATTGCTTACAGTAAGCTATTTTTGTATAAGTAATATTAATATATAATTATATTAATACATTAATTATCTATAAGGTAGGTAGATACGTAAGTACTTACCTACGTAAGAATGTTCTAAAAGTATGGAAATCATGATTTTTATGTGAGAACGGGAGACCTATTGAAGTTTACTCTAATCAGATTGAAATAACAGCTTAACTGTTCAGTAATTTTCTTTTTCGCTTAATAGAAATGAAGTATTTTATTACATATTTGATCCCGAGCAAAACTCGGCCAACAATTTATGTAAGTCTCTATGTACTTACTTATTATAAAAAATGGAATATTTTCATTAATAATTTTCAATTTACATAATATATCAGATTGTTTCAGATAAGTATATAACATTTAAAGCTAATATTAAATTAGAGAATAAAGAGATATTCAAACATCTAATCGAGGGAATAATAATAGTCAATTTTCACCGTTCTACTTACGCTATCTCTGCAATAGTACTACATATATCCAAAATATGCAATTAAATTATGACACTGAATATTTCGATACTGACACTTAACTCTTATACCCTACACAACGCATTTGGCTTTATAATTTTCAATATATCTATATACACCTTATTCATTTACAAAACAGATTAATTTTACCTTACGGTATGTCGCGTATCTATTCATCAATCTAACATGGCGGAAACTTTGCTATTTTATACAAAAATCATCACTCCAAATACTGAGATTCTTTTCATAGTTTATTTAGTACCTATTACGGTCTACATTTCTTTCATATCCACATGGCGTAACAATATGAAAGGTATAATGAACTAATGAATGATAAGGATTGTATAAAATTGCGAGACACAAATGTATATACTCTATACTTAGAATGATAGATTAGTATCTTATAAACATTATAATATTATAGACAGTCATAAAATGAGAAATAGACGACAACTATTACTAAAAACAATACCCTGGTACCTAGTGACCCGTGGTATTTTAAGTCATGTCCATTGTTACGCCTCTTTTTAATAAAATACCTGCATACCATTACCATGGATAGAACTTCAGATGTTTTATATTTTATTATTCTAACTACACAATGCCAGCACTAAAATTATGCCTCTAGTAAAGTGTTATAGACGTATTAGATGTAAGTAATTTCGTAGCCATGGGAATATTTTCAGTCTTCAGACATTGATTTAACAGTTTAAAATCATATAACATTCGTATAAGAAATGCGTAATCTTTATATAACAAGTGTATTATAAAGCTACTATTCTATAACAAGGTAATCGCTTTATATAGCCCAAACTGCTTCTAGAGGCATTATTATTAATGCTGTAGGTATAATGGTATCACGCTAACAGTCGTGTAAAAATATTTTTACGGTCCTAATGAAACGTTGAATGAGATTTCTAACGAACTACTCCGTTAGCACGGCACCATCGAGTTTATCTCAAAAATATTCCTTATCTTTCAATGGAATGAGGTTGTAGTTTGGTCTCCGTTTTGGTCGTTCAGTTGTGCGATTTAGTTTCGTTTTTTTTGTTTCTATAAAATAAATTTGCCTAAAGAGGCACTTCGATAAATTAGCTGGCTTTACATCTATTATTTTCATATATATAATATATATGCGTAAATTTAAACTATAATATGACATGTAATAGATATTAAAAAACAACAAGCGATTTTAATCTATTCAATCGCATATAAGCGACCTTAAAATAAAGTTATTGTCTTAAAATATATTAATTTGATACGTAAGGAAAAAAATGGAAAATCGAGGTGACCCACATTTTGCCCATCAGCAATAATTTATTTATAGCCTTGTTTGCTCTACGAATAATACTAAAAGACAGAATATTTATTCTTGTTAGAAAAAAAAGTTGTATCTAAGTAATCTTATTATTTTAAATGTATTATTCCCTAACAGGCGACAAACTATGTCACATAATTCTTAATGTTCAATTTGCAACAAAATGATTCCTACAATACTTATTACATAAATATAACAGAATTCTAGGCCGGCTACGGAAAAATACTAATTAGTTCATACTAAGTATATAAAAATAAAACTTACCTATTATACTAATACTTTTCAGTAACATTTTTGGCACTCAACTTTGAATATCGGTATCATACGATTGCTCCGTCTTAACAAACAAACGATCATTCATTTCACAGTTATATGTACTTAGATCATTCCAATTTAAAAATATGAGATGCAAATTATGTAGGCATCCAATAAAATTATCATTATAATATGATTTTTATAACATTTATGCAAATAAATTTTACAAATAATTGCATCTCATAATGTCATAAATCTTTATGCATATTGTAAATCGTGCCGTACTTCAAAATCACGTTTATACTCGGCTATCCCCATCCTTGTAACTTAGCTTTATTAATATAATTCCATGTTAAATTTATTCTTCAAAAATATTATTTATGCCTGAATTGCATACTAAAATACATTATGACGTTTAATTTTATTGCACATTATTTGACTTAAACATACGACAATACTTTATGTAGGTAGTCTTTGGCTATGCCGCAGTTATTATAATAATAAGATTAATATACAGACGTAGATGCTATAATAATTTTTAAAGGGAATGCTACGTAGGTTTGGGCACCTGAAAATAATGTCAGATGATAGTCTGACGAAACAGAGAACAGATACACAAAACAAAAGTTGATGGGTACAGGGGAAGTCTATTGACCTATTTTGATCATATAGATCATATAATATCTGAGAGAGAAGTCTCCAAAACCGTCGTGTATTCTTAAACAAGTTTTAAAAATAAATAAATCAAGAATGTGTGAAGATAGAGGCATTTGGCGCTCTATCTTTCTGCCTGCACTCAAGACTTAGTCTGCAAGAGACATTGTGAGATTCTAAGTGTGATAACAGTATTTGCTATATTCGTAGAGACTATCAGTCTCTTTGGCAAATATTAATATTATTATGTATTACTAATAATCGATATTAATCATTATTGAATAATATCGATTATTCGGCAACATTACTCAAGACTGTATTGGTAACACGGTTTCCCCCCGAAGGGTATAAAACGAAACTTAGATAACCCCCAGAATTTTAATACGTCAACTGTATTTCCTAATATTCATAATATTTCTTCATAACTTCAATCGCTCGATATCAGCCCTCCGGTGTAGCCAATTTTGAGTAGAGGTTCCCCTCTTATGAATATTGCGTGAAGAAAATACTATTGATGTATCTAAAAAATCTTAGAGAGGGTCAACCAGAGGCTCGAACAGTTAAATAACACTTTAATGAAGAAATTGGTTGTAGTAAATAAATCGTAAATATACGATTATGAATCGGCATGATTAATTTTATATATCAATTAAGGGGACAAAGGAAGCGTGGGCTTTTAAATGTGACCTTTAAAAAATTACTTCACACCTACATGTATTGATTTTGTATTTAGATGAAAGTCGTGTAATTATTTAGAAATATGAATTTGAACCAGAACAGAATTAGTTAACTGCATACTTTAGGAAACGTAAGAAAAACCGTAGGTATTTGATTTACAATGAAATTATATATACATGTACTTTATATTATCTAAATACAACAACGTAACATTATTTACTAATTGTTTACATCTGTGACAAGTGTTCCAAGAAAAATTATCGATGATAATAAAAATCTACCGCCACATACAAGATATAGCCGGTTGAGGCATATTCCTTTTAAAAGTAGAACCAACAAAATGTTCAACGACGACTTGTATGGTTTTCTTCCGGCTGTTTTTCAACAGGATTTTTCCCAGAGTCAACTGAAGTCGGAGCCAGGGCTTGAGTCGGTTGTACGCTGATACGGACCTCCCCTGCGGGGCCCACCACGATTTTCACCTGTAATATATAATATTTTTTTTTATATTTTATTAATATAGGAGACTAGCTTTTACCTGCCACTTTGTATATATATCGGGGATATGTTGATTGACTGGGATAAATAGTACCAATTTCATGATGATTGGTGAAACTGTTAAGGCGCTAAGAGGTAACAAACAAACAAACTCATCTTCAAATTTAAAAAAAGAAAGAAAAGCTTTTGTGATCTCGCAATATACATAAATTAGGTAATTTATTTATATTTAGCATGTAGGTATCGTATAATAATTCATAAATTTCTTAGATAAATCAGTATCCGGTTAGTTTTATTGAAAATAGTCAATTATTAAATTAGATGAACTTGGATTAATCTCTTCTTATTAATTCTCTATATATCCTCGACAAAAATTCACGTAAGTCAACCCGGTTATATGAAACAATCAATGGTACATTTTAAGAATTTTTTTTTTTCAAAATAATACATCAAAACATAAACAAATAGCTAAATGAAAAAGGTTTTTGTATACATTTATTATACATAAGTTATGACATATTATTATTATTTAGTCTATTTCAGGTTTAATAAAGAGGTATGAGTTATAAATGGATTAATTGAGATAATGTTAACTTACCTAGTCCCCCCGTCAGACGTTCATAGCATAATAGACAGGATTAGGCGGAGCCGCCATCGGAGACGTAGCGCTGGGGGCTGCGACACCGGCAGGGGCGCCTTCTGGCGCTCCCCTGGCGGCTCGGGACGGCGAGCCTGGCGCCGGTTGATACAACGGTGCAGCCACCTACCATTTTATCACACATTTCAGTATGGTGACACATATTATATACCATTTTAGAGAACAAATATTTTTTTTATTACAACACGGGGCAAACGAGCATGTGGCTCACCTGATGGTAAATGATTACCGCCGACGTACATTTAGGTACATTTATTCTATTTTTTTATGGAATAATATATTTAGGTATTTAGTAAAATTAATGTAGAATAGTAATCGAGTGGCATGAGCAGTGATTCTTTAAAACAAACAAAACACCATAATGACAAGATGTTTTGTAGATACATTTGATATTATTTTTATTTACCAGATAATGCTCGTCTGAAGCAATTCGAAAATTAATAAATATAGACATTTAATATTAGTAATTACCTTTTCCGAATAACAAATCATCTGCTTGCCTCCGCCTGGCTGTGGCGCTGGGACGGGTCTATATCTTGCAGGGGCTGGACATAAAGTCTGAAAATATATCACTGACTAGCTATAATCCGTGGCTTCGTCCTCTTTAGTTATACGAATATGTCTAATCACTAATATGTATAATGCGATTACTTAGTAGGTAATAATTTATTCTATTTAATTGCCATTGTTATAAAAACAATTAGGTCAAAATAAAACAGAATAAAAACACTCATAATAGCAAAAAGGCCTTATTATTTAATGTTTGTAATAAAATAAATAACATTTGTATTTATTTTATTTCATCTTTTGCTTATTTATTATCATAATATACAACTATAGCAGGCACCAGTCTTTCGCAAAACGGGATTACAAATTTCATTCTACCTTGAACTTTTTTACTACCTTTTATAAAGAGAAAATAAATTTTATTATTTATTTAGTGTTACATAATATATATTCCAACGAATCAAAGTAATGTTCGCCTTATGTTACGTGGTTGAAGATATATATTTGTCTGACCATTTTAATTACCTGTATCTGAAGTGCATGTGTATAATGTGCCCGCTGCTGCTGGGTAGCAGTTGGCTGAGGTGTGTTGGCACCGCTTCGAGTCTGTTGTTGGTAATACGAGTGCATGCGGCTATCTAAAAGGTAAGAAGTTTGGAACAATAAGTTTTTCACAATATGGAATATTAAGCAGAGACATAAGTATAAGACTAAAGTATTATACCGCCGAATCCCGTATTTTGTTGCCATTTTTATTGTATTCCCCATTTATCACATAGTTAAAAAAATATGACCTGTACCTTTGCTCTTTTGATTTGGAATAAAAACTAGGCTATGTGTTAAACAAGTAATAATGTGTATGTGTGTGACAAATTAAAATCACTTCAGCCAAATAAACATAATTGAGCTACAGATATAACAAATAGGGACCTGATAGAAATCCAGTGTATAGGTCCTAAATTATATTTACTTATAATTTTTACAAAATAGTTTACTTCATTATTTTCTTTTCATTTTCTATTTTTATTTATAAGCTTTTCTCTTTATTTTAAAACAGTTTTATTATAGGTACTGGAATATATGCAAAACTTACAGTCATTTGCAGTCCAGTGCGCTCCATAGTCATGGTGCTGATAATGATAGTGATTGCTGTATGGAACATATAACAGCTGATGGTGACTTCTTATAGGTGGTGGTGATTCTGGTCGGCGACAACGAGGCGCTGAGCGAACTGGTGACGTCTGCTCCGAGCTTGTTTGTGAGCTGTATAGTTCTTGACTGCTATCTGAACATCTAAAGAAACAGATGGTACATAAGTGATGAGGCTTTATTTGAAAAAGGACATCCTTATTTAATTATAAAATAGATTATTATTAGATAATTTATGAGAGAGAACTAATCGGGTGTCTTCTTTTTCTTATATGAATATGGAGAAAACTATATAGGTATGTTATGATAGAAGTAAGTGGTGGTTTGTAGTTTGTAGCTATCCAAAAGGAGAAATGGTTTGAAATTACAAAATAATTAAGAAGAAAATTGTAATATCAGGTCAATTATAACAAGTTCTTTAAATAAAGAGTTAAATTGTTCTTAAAGTTGAGTTAAGAGAAATACTACGTTGTGTTACTACAATTTTTCATTGCAGGAATAACGTAAGAAATGATTAAGGACAAATTATTATACACCAAAGCAAGAAAACTCGAAACAAAACCCTATATCAAGTCACTTAGTTGATCTGGTAAAGCAGGAAATAATCTCCTTCTAATGCTTGACTTTTGTTTATCGGAGGGATGATATTAAGAAATGATTTGAAATTATTAATGATATAATGTTATCATTACCCGATATTTGCATACAGAGAACAGTTTCTGTACATATTCTCTTGCTGTTGTCTATGTTGGTAATGTGCGTAAGTAGCTATGTTCTGCGCGTGGGCATAACATGCGTCGCTGTGTTGCTGTGGAACCGAAGTACTGCCACATTGGCGCGCTGTCACGTAGTCTGAGGACTTGGACCTGGGAAAATACATAAGTAGTAATTATATGGTATATATGATGACGATATATCATCTAACTAATAAAAGACAAACGGTGATATTTTATTGTATATAATAATAATTATTCCATTAAGTTCTTAACCTCTACATTAACTGTAAAAGAGAGATATTAATTTATTTAATGTAAATTTTAACGTTTAAAGTATCTTTAAACGTGATTTCTCGTTAAGATCTCAATTATTCAGAAAAGTTGTTACCTAATACTGACTTTTTTAGTTGTTGATCTTTAGAAGGCATCTTAACAAACTACAAAGAAACAACAAACGGAAAAAAAAGATTGGCAGTTGAAGTCGGAGATGCATGTTGAATAAGGAATCCTTACCAGTTAGAATTGGCGCTGGCTCGACTCTGCGGTCTAGAATTTAAGTTGGCCTCCGAGTAGTACGGCCAGGAATAATTAGAGTTGGTGCGTTGACATGAATGCGCAGGCATCTGCGCCGGTGTTGCACCAGGAGAGGGCTGGAGTTCATTTTGCATTTGCTGAAGGATCTCATCTGAAGCTCCTAATTGTTGCTTTACAGCAATTCCGCGGACGGCAGGGCGCCGATGGAAACCTGAGGTTATATAGTTAAATATATTTTATTATAACAATAATTTAAAAATCATATATTATTCCATGAAAACATTATTTTTCCATTTATGTGGATATTTCCAAGTTTTGCATTCAAAGTTTTAGTACCCTATAGAAGGTATTAATATTATATAGTAAATAGATTATCTAATGAATATTAATTATATCAATATATATGCAGCAGCCAAGTGAAATTATTAGGGAACATTTTCACAATTGTAATTATGTATTTAGTAATTAAAATTTTTTTAAATAAATCACAACTTAATGTCCTGTTTCATTAAATGAATACTTAAGAGTCATCTGTTACTGCTAACTGTCATTAATGTTATTACTAATTACTAATAAAAAAATAAATATTTAAATAGAATTAAACGATATGACACGGATATATACGCAGAATTACAAATTAAATTCATAATTCTATTTTAAAGAATCTTATATATAACGCAATAAAAAATTGGTATCACCCTAACTGATACGGACCATAGTCATCATGTTCATCATCACTGCTGACCGGCTGCGATTCTTGACCGTAACGTTGTCGCAGTCGCTCTGTCCTTGGTGCTGTCGCCCGTGCGAAAGCTGCAAGCCCATCATCGCCATCTCCAGCGCCTTTTGTTTTAAAAAATATCTAATTTTAAAAAAAGTCTATATACATTTTTAATATCATTTTTCTCGCGATTACGTCCGCTTGACCAAAATAATATAGTGATTTTTCGAGATAAAAAATTGTCTATATTTTTTTTTATGTCCCAAATAACAAACATCCATATTTATAATATCATCATCAACATATCAGCCGGTAACTATCCACTGCTGAACATAGCCCTCCGCCATAGACTACCATAAGGAATAATCTCAAGCTATCCGCATCCGCCGACTCTCTGCAATGCATTTGAGACACTGCTATTAGACGCTAGTCGGGGGTCATTCTACACTATATTTGCCTATACGGGGTCGCCACTCAAGAAGCTTTCTTCCCTATCGGTTGTCAGTTCTTCAAGCTATGTGACCAGCCTATTACCAGTTCAGCTTGCCTACTCTTTGAGCTATGTTGATCTTTTTGGTTCTTTTATGGATATCCTCATTTCAGATTCTATCACACAAAGAAACTCCGAGCATAGCTTTCGCCATAGCTCGTTGAGCAGCTTGAAGCTTCTGCATACGGCAACCTTTGAGGACTTTGTTTTCGTTCTGTAGGTCATCACTGACAACACACACTGGTAAAAGATCGACTTCAAACTCTGAGATTTTGTAATATTATATTAAGAATTAATTATCTCATATTAAAATTGTCGCCGTAAAGTAACATAAATACATAGTAAGATATAATTTATAACTGTAAATTACCTAATTTATTTATTCAAAGCATAATTAAAAATGTTATAGTCGTTATGTTCTGGTTTTGAAGCTCAATATTCTTAGGTCATAATGGTTGCATAATATTATCGTGGGATCAAGCACATAAAACTTACCAGGTGTACCAGCAACAACGTCAGGTGCCGGGGCGTCGTTGTGTTCTGGAAGATCAATATTTGTAGCTGACGATGCAGTGGTCCTATCTCCGGGAGGCACATAGTAGAAGCCTTCGTGGTGTGCAGCACTTCCAACGCAAGCCGTTAGTGGTGCCAACGTTGAAAGGAACTGCCTCCGTGGTTCTGATCTTGGCTGATGGATATAAATATAGAATATTATTTTAGTAAAGGCAGCAACAGAGAGATAAGGGTAGGCGTTTTATATAACACAATCAGGCAATTATAAAGTCTTATTAGTATTTGCTACTCTGAAGTAACAATTCTGAAGTTATCGTATTTTGTTTATATCTATGATATGAGAGTTGTTACAATTATATTTAGGAGGAAAAGATTTATCAATAATGGAATCTACTAACTTAATTGCCAGTCAGGTAAAACTCGAAACTATCGTAGTTTATTTAATATGGTTATATTGCAAATACTCAAACAAATAAGCAGAGAGAGATTAAAGTTATCTGTAGATGAAAGAGAGAGAGATAAAAGTTATCTGCATGGATATCTCTGTCCCACTTGTGTTTTATCCGCTTAGATTATAACTTTATAACATATACTTATTCATATAAGTATGTTATATTATGTTTATATTCTGCCATGAATTAACAGCGCTTTAATGGCTGTGATATATTAATTTCATAAAATTATTGATTGAATAATCCATTTTATTTCAAATGGACTATTCACTTCAATAATCTAAGTAAAAGGATTAATAGTGTAGTCATAACTATATATCAAAAGTAACTAATATAGACGATTATAGGCCTAAATATAGTTTAACGATTTAGTTCTATAAAAGTTAAAACGGACAAAAAATCCGTTTAGTACTACTATTTGCACTAGGATTTTAATAGAACTATACGAGCAAAAAGTTCGTTTGTATTTCTATTTTCTATTTGACATGTATGAAAATAAATGAAATCCTAGAATTTTAATAGAACTATATCGCCAAAAATGTTAAACACTGTTTCGATGGATATATTGATTCTATTTTGTGATATGAAATAATCTATTGGGACAACTCTAATAATAAGTTATATGTATTTAAAGGATAAAAAGTCCATAGTGGCCATAAAAACTGTAACTTTCAATTAAAAGAAATAAGATCACTCTCTGTACCTACTCTTTACATTTACAAAGTTACAATACTTAGATATTAAAAAAAATATCACATTTACTTCCAATATCAGCCAAACAATTTTCTAGACAAATAAAAAGTAGCCAACGTCGTGACAACAGGGTCTGAAATCGCATTAAAATGAAAGAGCTTTTTTGCATGGCTTCAAGAATATAAAACAAATTGCTAAATGAATAGAATGAATGTAACGTAAGCTTATTTAAAAAATGTCTTATTATAAACTTACAGAATTTTTTAAAGATAAAGAGCTTTGAAATCATGTTACTTATTATACTTATATTTTTAATGATACATTTTAATTGTTACTAAAATAGAAATAAGTATTTATTATTAGAATAGTAGACGATAATAATATTTGTACGCCCAGTGATGGTAAAATATAGGACCCAATGATGATAAAATTTATAATTATATCTATATTTAAGCAAATAATGATTAATTAATTAATTGAAATATATTTTTGGCATAAAATTTGTTAAGTTTAATCGTAACGAAAAATGTAAACGGGGCTTATTCAAAAAACTTTTAAAAACTTGACACATTTAGGTCACATGAATACAAACTGGGTTGTTTATGTTTTTAGCGCTTTTTAAACGTTCATAACATAGATTAAGGATAGTGGCTGGCATTCTTTTTCTGTTGTTCATAATAAGCCCCCTGAATCTTATTGGACACAAACCTTTTGAGGTTCCTGATGTACGTCACCCAAATCGGGCGGTTGTTGCTGCCGTGTTGGTACTGGTGCTGATAGGGTTGAGGACGAGGAAGATGAAGACGCACTTCCGAAGGCTTTTTCACTGTTCTTGTCCACGCTGTTGTATGATTTGTCACTGGATTTATCGCTACTGCTGGAGAATTTATCATTGTTAGCCCCGGCGGGGGACGAGCGCTGCTCCTCGGGTTCATCTTCCACGTCGCATGTTAAAAGACGAATGCGTTCTGCTAGCGATGTAGTCTCCTGCTGCATAATACAAATAATAATATATTAAATAACTTATATATGTCGTTTTAGTAGAAACTGATAAATTGTATGTACGTATGTTAATATTTCTGAAAATTGGAAAAAAAGTATTAATGAAAATGGAAGTTGCGTATATTTGAATAACTTACTCGCTACTTCTGCCTACCATAAAAGACCCATGGCTTAAAGTTAAGAATAACCCAGGGAGGCCTAACTAATTACTTATCAATAAATTTAGGCATAAAACTCTATTAACTCCATAATCACCCCACACGGATTTTGTAGTAAAATTTCAAAAAGTATTTATTTATCATTCTATCTATTTATTTATTTATTACTGATTTATAACACGCTACGTATCTATTACCAGACGATTCCAGCCTAGAATGGGTCACTCCTTTCTTTTCCTTGGTTATAGTATGAAGCGCTTAAGGGAGCTTAATGATCAAGGGATGGCAGCAACATCCCTTTTAAAATGTCACCAAAGACTAACTGCGATTGCTAATCGCCAGCCAAGCGTGGCAACTACTGGCAAAACCCCCCTTATCGGGGAGGTCCGTGTTTCGCAGTGGACAGTTAAAGACTAATCTAATAATGATGATGATAATAATAATACATCATTATTATCCATTGGTCTTATTTTGACAGATGTAGCTCGATGGAAGAGAATATACAAATATATGCCCGCGCTATAGCAGTCGACTGGAACTTAATATTCCAAACCCTCTAACTTAGCTATTTAATCTAAAATAAACCCAATTAATTATTTTGTCTAATTGCTACGTACTAGATAAGGTAGGTACTTGTTAAATAATAAATCTATTCAATTATTACTAATCCATTTGGTAGGAGATCATTACTCAGCTTTAGTACAAATAAATTGTATCGATTTGATAACCCTATTCACTGGAAGAAGGCGGGAAGAAATATTTTATTTATGAGAATTAGTGTATATACTGTCCATTTAAATCTTATAAAGACATAAGAATAATATGATATAGATATATATTATGTCTTTAGTAATATTAGTATAAAACATTACAGGTAAAAAAAAAATTTTTCTTATCGGTTTATAATATATATGAAGAAGTTTTAAGGTAAAAAACAGAAAAAAATACAACCGAAAAGAAGCCCTCCTCCTTTTTTTTTTGAAGTCTTTAGAAAAAATTAAAGGTGTAAAAGCAACATATCTACTTGATGTTGTAATATTATCACAATATCAAATATCATAACTATTGTAGATCATAAGCATAGCAATTTATGCAGCTATTGATGCAATTTCAGAATTGTCTATTATGCATAAAATACTTTATGTAATGCTACCTACAGCCAAGAACTTTATAATTTTCGTTTATATCACGAATAATTCTAAACTATGCATATGATCCTGTATTAATTATTTGACAGTGTAATATTGTAGTGAATCGTATCCCGAAAAGCAAGCAACTTATAGTGATGCATTTTTCGCTCACTTATATTAGTATAGTTAGTATATATAGATTAATAGTAATACTATAAAAACAGTATATAATTATAATAATATCTGATTAAACAATATCGATAATACAAACTTGGGAACGATTTCACCATCATAGCTGCTGCGCGTAGCGTCACACCATTGTATGTGTTAAACGCCTTATCGTTAACTTGGGTAAATGGATATACCGTAAAGTACTTCCATTTACGTAAGTAGGTACTACTTATTTACGTATATACATAATGATTGATTTGAATACGCTATTTTCACCATATTTTCTCAGCACGGTTCAATAAAATAGGTAATAATTTATATATACAATGCGAAAGTTGATTGATGTAGATATCTGAGGAGATCTAGATTAATCTAGAATGATTAGATACATTGTGTCTTATCTATAGAAAAAGTGAATGTCCAGAACTGCCATATTTACATACGTAAGACGATATAAAATTGATTTAAGCAAGAAAGTACGTAGAGTTCTCTCTATCCTTATACATATATTAAGAACTAAGTGCCAATCATTGACATCATAATAAAAAAGGTACCCGATGTTTTTTGTTTACTTCGCTAAAGGTATGACATGAAGATAGATGGTATATAGATAAATATTTACTTAAATACAAATATACTCTAGCTCTTTATTATTGTCTTAGATGTCTAGACCTTTTGCATTTAATATTTATTTATTTCAAGTACTACTCGATTTGAGAATCATTGCTAAGCTAGCCTATTAGCTTCCAACTTTTCCTCAGTTACAGTAATTAAATGCCTGAAACAGCCTGAAGGTCGGTGAGGCAAACGAAAGGGAAAATTAACTAGTTTAAAACGAGGTCAGGGCATGAAGATACATACAGACAGCAGTGCCCTTTTTCCCGGGTACCTGTTGAAAACACGCTGTCAAATAACTGTGAATTGACAATGACATTCGTTTGTTCATTTCACTAATATAATAAAATTTTAACTTGACAATGTCTGTACATGGGAGTTATTTGAGAGGTTCATAGTAAGAGGGTTTATTTAAGAAAAATTTACATTTGTTCCTAATAAGAGCAAAATAAGCGAAAAAATTTATTTTTAGAAATTTTTATATATAAGTTGGTGAAACTACTTCGATCACTTAGCACCAAATTATTATTATTATATGACAGTACCTATTTATTAAAGGACTTTATGTTATCATATAAAGTACCGATAATAAAAATTATAATATGAATAAATATACATATTAATACTTAAATAATTAATAATAATAATACTGAAAATACGTAAATACCTATTGTAAAAGAATTTTAATGATTGAATTATAATATCTTTAAACTTATTAACTATTTTTATAAGATAAAAGAGGTTGTCCTTCTCTCTCCTACTTGCTGTACTCAACAGGGTCGACATTAGGCCTGTTTCAATATTCATCAACCACATTATGGAATGTAATAAGAAATAAAGAAAGAAAGAGGGACAGAGAAAAATAAATGAATAAATAAATACCTTACGCATATTTCTCCTACCTACATACGTAAAAATTCTTATATATAATATATTAGAATTTTTACCTAACTATCTGCTAATATTATAAATGCGAAAATTTATAAAGATATTTGCATTTTTAAATGACTGAAAATTGGTACACAGGTCACGACACTTTATAGATATAAAGAAATACTATTACTTATACTGTGTTATAACTTAACTAATAGGATACATTACAAAAAATTTAATGACCGAATTGTTCAAGCAGCCATGTTCGTAGTATGTAACATAGGTAAACATTTTTATGTTATTATTTATAAATTTATAACTATATTTTATATACATATATACTGTATATGGTATATATATTTTATTTATAAACGTATACAGTATGTACCTAATATATATGTACATACATATATACATATGTATGTATACTGCAGGTATATAGGTACTGTTTAATTGTAATCGCGACGCGTAAAATCCCAATCGTGAATTTAAAATTTACGATACGCAATGATATTAAACTTTATAGCAGACTATCAAGACGAAATTATTGATTTATCTTTATTAGTATCAAAACAATGGTGTTTGCTAGTTACTATCTAATTCCTGATCGAATCTATTATAAATACTTAATACTACATTACATCACATTAATTTTACTGAAGGTTACATATCTTAGTACCTCCTACCTATTTTTATATTTATAGATCTATTCGCACGCTTTTCCTTATTGTATAGTGAGAGAGCACCAAGGATTAATGGGCTCCATCGGAAACTCACTTTATTTGTAACTAGTTATAACCTTTGGCTTTGTCCGAGCGAATTGAAATAAATAGAAGCTTATACGCAAATGCAGATAATAATAATAATAATAACTAATCTTGAGTTGTTAGTTGCCTATAGTTTATTCTTAGCAGATAAGAAATTGAAAGGTTCTAAAAACACTGAAGAAATGTTTTTATTTATCGATTGGGGGATTATGATTATTAGTAATAATTGTTTTAAAATTAAAGAAATTTAACATACAATAAATTATTGATAAACAGTATAATACGTGTTATATCAAAAAAAAAAAAAATTATGTTTGTAGCTTCAATTTTCATTTAATGGGTATAAAATATATTATGTACCTGCTTATCTATTTTCCTTAAAGGTCACAAAAGTTCAATTCAACCCTTGGAGAATTATTGTATCTATTTATAGTTATAATATGTTAACCCGCGTTTTGAAACATTTGACATGTAGGTATTATATAAGAATGATAAATGAAGTAGGCATTTATGTTTAGTGGAAATGATGTTAAATTGTTTACTCACGGGCCTATAATACTATTTTTATCGTAATTAAAATCTTTTTATATTCAATCTTAATCCTTATTTTTTTCAAATACTTGAGATTACGTATAACAGTAAGCAAAAGATCTATACCTTTGGCTGTTGTTTCTTTCTTGCTTCACTGCGCAGTAGTGAACAGCGCAATGCGTTCCTCTCAGCCACCCGTCGAACCGCCGCGTCTTCTGTCTTTGGTCTTACACCGGCATCCCACGCTCTGATAAATGTAATTACATTATAAAGACAGGATCATTAAGGTTTCTGTTCACATATTTTAGATTTTTAAACTTATTTTATAGGGATTTTAGTATTGAAGGCATGTCAGTCCTGTTTCTTTATACGCTATTCAAGAATTTACTAAGGAACATATACAATTTTATCCAATTTAACGATTTTTGTACCAGCAGTTCTGCCAGTTCTTACAATAGTTTTATTTTTTCATTAGATATATAGTTTTAGCTCATTATAGCATTTATATTAATGAAAAAAATTATTATGAAAGATAGACATTAGAAATATTTATAACAAACATCAACAAGAAACAAGTCAAAATTGTCCTTATAAGTGTTAGTAAGTCTATTCGTGTCTTTTACAACCTGTCTATGTATGGAGGCCATCGATCAATATGGCGAACGTTCAGAGTAAAACTTTTAACAACACTCCGTGTAATTTATACACTAGTTTCCAGAATTTTTAATTAAAAACAACAAATTGTTTTTAAAACAAGAACGATGTTTGTGCAATGGTTAGGAGTAAGAAATATAGCTACCTAATAATTATAGTTTAATTTTGAGCAGCTATTAATTGCATGAGCTCGTGTTATATACATATATCTTAACCTAGACATACATTAAATTATAAAGTAAAATATGTTGACACTATCCTCAATGGGATAATAAGAGGCAACTTTGCCTTTGGATGGTTGTTGCCATTATAAAATATAGCAGGGGAAGAATCTATCGTGATTGCTTAGATAAATTGTTATTAATTTATTTAATTGACAACTAGATTTAACAAGCCAATGTTTTTAAACTAAGATCTTCATGTTACAAAGCAGTGCTTGGTGTAGCATAATTCATAGGTTGGGGCTACCGTTTACTTTTAAGCGAACTATTTCCTTGATTACTAACTTTGTAGGGTAAAAAATTTCAAGATAATTGTTAATTCTATTTGTAAGTATTACCTGAGTGTTTCTGAGGTAACCAACTGTGGCTCTATTGCTGGAGGCGGCGGTCGACCGCTGTTAAACAATTGCTGGACAGCCGAATTCGCTTTAGGGGAATGTATTGTGAGGATCAGTGGTGTTTCAAGCCTGTTGAATAAATGGAGATATTAAAAAAGGTTTACTTTGTAACCCAAAGTATTTCTAAAAATAACATATCCTTTCATTCTTGTCATTTATCATATAAAACTTCACATTTTAAATATCCACTATTTAATATTCAATTCTTATTTACAAAATTAGTAATTTTAAATTTTATATAAATATGTCAGTATGAGTAAGAAGAAATTAGTATAAAATAGTTTATAGTATAGCAAAAAGCTACAACCAATATACAAAATATTCTATTTAGGTAAATATTATTAATAATGACATTTTTATTGAAGTAAGTACTACTAAAGTAAGCAGAAGAACCAAAGTGACCGATATAGCCCGAAGGATAAACAAGCTGAAGTAGCAATGGGCTGGTCACTTATCTCGTAGAACCGACAACCTATGAGCAAGAAAGGTCCTTGAATGACGACTCCGTACAGGCAAACGCAGTAGGATGACGCCCCACTAGGTAGAGCGACGACATCAAATGTATTGCAGAGAGTCAATGGATGCAGGAGGCTCAGGATTGTTCCTTATAACGGTCTCTGGGGGAGACCTATATTCAGAAGTGAACAATTAACGGCTAATATGATGATGATAAAGTATATACTTTTATTTATTAACAAAACAATCTGTTAGATCTTGATTTTTATAAGTACTTTTCAATTAATTACATGACATTGTTGAGTATTATCTTTTAATTTTTTTATTAAACTACTTAAAAAGAAGAAAATTTCCAATTCGGTGTTATATTTTATTCGTATACGTGATGTCTTTGAAAATTTTAAATTTGTATTACGTATAAATTCAGATATTTCTTTTGCAAATGATAGGATTTATTCTCGTACTGGTTACCTATGTTGTCACTAGTAAAGAACACTAAGCCAAATTTTATTAATATATGTCTTTTTATAGCTTCTTCAAGTGTTTCGATCATTTGCAGTGTGCATCTAGGTCTTACCTACTGTTTTTGCTATGTGGTCAACCCAACCAGAGGGTACCCATCCGAATATCTCGATTTTCTTAAGACCTTATTCGATCAATAAATGGTTACTTATATAGCTTGTTAGGTGCTATATATTATATCGATCTCGTACTTTTGTGTACACAGGTATACGAAACATCTATATCGCACCTTGGGTCATTAGCAACCGTCGTCATCGTACCCCGAATCATATCCGTTCTTTAGAATAGAAAGATTGATTAACGCCGGTCGTAAGAGTTTGTGCATTTCGCCTACTAAGGTACAATTAACACCAAAAATCATTGATCACATCCAGAATTTCGAAAGCCGTGAGTACTTGCATATACTACAGCGCGAAATTGAAATCTCTAACGTCTTTTGAAGGAGATGTTCTACCTACAGATAAAACCTAATATTTTCACTAAAGAAACGTGGGTCGAAAAATGACAAAAAGCTAATGCGGCGCGATCGTCTGATCGTTGAGTTAGTATGGAAAACTGTTTTTTTTTAACCTTATTTGTTTTTCTACTAATATATTGTATTAATAGCAAAGGTAGATTCTTACGTAATTTTACATAATTACGTAAGAATTTACCCTCTTGAATATACCTTTTTGATTTCACCTTTTATAAAGACGCGGTCTCCGAGTCGTTTAGCTGTAGCGAGTTATTATATGTAATAGTGTATAGGAGTTCCAGAAATTTGGATTCATACATCGACTTTTGGTGCTGATGTACTCGTACAATTCAATTACTTAACAATTTTAGCTGTATAACTGCAATGCGGGCGTCGATTCGGAATAAAAAGAAAAAATAAAAGATGGTCTATTACGGGATTATGATATTGTGTCCGACATAAAAAAAAAACACAGTCATATAATCCTTAGATTATAATCCAATGGCAGTTGTCACTTGTTGGTAATGCTCGAGTAGTATCTTAGGTGTTATAAATACCATCAAGCCATCATTGTTACACAGTACTTTGTGTAATAATGTTTTTTATGATTGACAACAGGATGGTATCATTATTTATGTTTTAAGTATTGTAATAAAACCTTCCAATTAAAGGATGACGTACGATAGGACAAGAATAACAGAATTCTACTAATCCTTTTCTTGCCAAACAAAAGGAAATAAACATAATATATCGGCATAACAGAAACGGAAATTTTAAACAAAATCTCTCTGTATCTGAAACATATTGCCAGCGGGACAATAGAATACTAATAGATACCTATCTATCCATCTTTACCCCAAGTCCTTACGAGGTAAACAGAAAGAACCAAGTGCCAAAGATCTTTGTTCTTACATACATCTCTTGCTTCTTGAACATAACTTGTCTCATACACGCGAGCTGGCTCCGGAGAATCTTGCCTCTTTTTCAGAAATAACATGATCCATTTTATTATAGTAAGTTTGTCTAAGTCTCCTTCGGTACCTACATATAATATACTTAATTTTTTTTTGTACAAGACGAGGTCTTAGAATGGAAAAGAAGGTTCAGAAAGAAGTGCGAAGGGAGTCCAAATACCTGTGTGTGGTGCTGGTATTGTTCTGTGACGCTGTTTCATTGTCCGAGTTGTGTGTTGGCTCCGATTCACTTGGAGCCGTATCCGAAGTCTCGCTAGCTCGTTCCACGAACCGCACGGAGCGTGGTGTCATCGAGCCATCTTCGTCACTCGCTGTGGTGGTCGACCGTTGATCGTCGTTCTGCTGAATAGAATATTATAGTAATACAGGCGTGAACTTAGCACTTCGTGGTTTAATGATTATTTGTTTGTTTTGTTATTATAAAACATTATTTTAAATTATTCCTCACATTTACTTGGAGTAATGAATGTAGTTATAGATATTACATTCAAAAAGGGCAATTTAATTCGTAATAAATGATAATAATATGAAACTATGAATAAAAAGCAAAGTTTTTGAAATACAAAAAAAAAGACATTAAATTCAATTTAGAATTAGCAAAATATTATCCTTCTTGTTGTTCATGTACAATATCAATTTACATTGTTCAATTAAATTAAATCTATATTCAAAGAATGTAAATTGATATTAAATTCAATTTGTCGGAAATATTACTAAATATTAGATTAATGGATGAAAATACGTTTACCAATATTAAGTATTAAATGGTAAGGGAAATATATAGGTATCTAAAATAATATATAAACAATAAAACCCATCAAATACTCTAATATACTAAGTCTAATGTACATACCCAGAAAACAAAACTCATATCTTGTCAAAAACAACGATAAATTATTATCAATAAATAAAATAAAAGAACATTAAATGTATCGTATTTCTAATATTTCAATGGTGAACGGCTTTATACGACTGATACTAATTCTGTTGTGGCAGAGAACGCAGTATAGGTCATTCATTTAAAATCATTACGATGTAGATCATATATCTACTTCTATTCATTTACAGAACATTAAAATAATTAGATAGAATTTCATGTTAAATAATTATAAATACTACACTGAGCTATAAAAAAATCCTTTGAATATTTGATACTATAATATACAGTGAAAGCTAATGGACTGAAATATCAATACAGATTATCTATATGATAGGGTCATTGTATATGTATTGTACATTTACAGCCACGAATAATAAATAATTACTATGATAATTTATAAATAAAGTGTTTAATCTCGATTTAATAAATATCGATCTTTTGAACCTTTAATTTCAATTTTATAGGATCGATTTTTCTAAATTAGATACAAATTTCAATATATATTAGGTATATGACATTCACTAATTTGTTTATATCTTTTAGAAGTTATAGTTCTATATAGTTTTTTAAGAGATTTGGCAATATTGTTCGTCTTCCTTTATTGTTTTTCTTTTTTCTTCATCATCAATGTACATATAAAAAGATCAAGCTTAATTTTTGTGAAATAGATAATTTTCTTGTGGATCGATTTCGGACCTCTCGATTTCAATGGTCGATATTGTCGCTAAAGTCGGCATTTCTATTAAAAAACTAGCTGACCCCGTAAACGTTATTTTACCACTTATTGCGAAATATAAAAATCGCGATTAAAATACAGGGGTTGATCGTAAAACGATGAAAATTTAAAGTTGTATGTATTTTTCAATGCTAAATTATAACAAAATAAAAATAAAAAAAAATTGTAAAAAAAATAAAAAAAATATATTTTGGGGTGGGTCACCCTTATCATTAAGAGGTATGAAAAATAGATGTTGGCCGATTCTCAGACCTACCTAATATGCACAAAAAATTTCATAAAAATCGGTAAAGCCGTTTCGGAGGAGTTTGGTAACAAACACCGTGACACGAGAATTTTATATATAAGATATTAGCTTACGTCCATTATTTCGTACACGTGGATTTCGGAAGTAGAAAAACCAGTGTATTTTATTGATTTCCCGCTTTAAAATAGTGTACCAAGATAAAATTTACATCAGTTATTAAGTTAGATTTTCAGGAACACAAATGTGAATACCGCATACAGTTTGGTATAGTAAGTTTTATGTGATACCGGAATAAATATACAGTTAGACAGACAGACTAAATTTCTAAAAATTATTGCTCGTATTGGAGGTTCACGCATAAATTTTTCTTAAATATCCCCCTATGTACAGATATCGTCTAGTTACAATTTTATTATATTTTCATTCATTCATTATCTCATTATATTAAAAATGTCGTTTTAATATACACGTTACCTGATCATTGCTGTCCTTGTCAGTGTCAAGCGATTTCCATAATCGCCCCCCTTTCAGTATTCCGCCACGGCGCTGCCGCAATGGCGAGTTTTCAGATGATAGCCGTCCTTCTGTTTCAGCAGTGTCACTTTCTTCGCCTAAACAATGTTAAAAAAATAATTATTGTTACGGTCACGGTTTGTTGGGTGTGGATTTTCATTTTATATTTATCAAAAGGTATATATCATAATGCATAATATTTTGATTAGTTAAATGTGATTTAACAGGTGTGATTTTGTTTAATAATAAAACGGAACGACAACCCTCTCAGCGCTATTTATATTTTTTTTATACCACTGAGGTGGCAAACGTACGGCCCAGTTGATGGTAAGCATAGGCTACCGTAACCGTAGCCTATGAACACCTGCAATACCAGGGGTATTATGCGCGCATTATCGACCCTGAAGAAACCTCTATACCTCTTTTTTAAAGAACCCTATGCAGTACTCTATTAAAAAAACCTCCACGGGCAGCTCTGGCAGGAAAGTGACCGTGAGCATCATATTGAACAATTCCTTTGATGTATGATGATACCAGGGAGTAAAAATAGGTGAGGATGAGGTCAAGAATATACCACGACGGTAAGGAGTTCTAAGGAGATCTGCGTGGATGACAAACGTTAAACCCCTTTACTAATATAATCGTGTTCCCCTCAAGTCAGATTACTTCGTCGTTTAATAAGATAATAAATTTATTATTATAAGTATATGTAAGTAATTAAATTACTATATTTAAAGGATTAATTTACCAATTAAAATAAGGATAAGTACATGTTACTCAAGGAAAATGTATGTTAAGTATTTATAGCTCAGTAAGCGTCAAGTTTACTTCAATAAAATCGGATTATTGAGCATTAATAGGTACTCTTTGGTAAATGATTACCAAAGAAATTTGTTTAATATTAGAATTACGGTGACTAGTGGAATATAGAGAAAATTTAATTAAGACTACGAACTTAATAGTTGATTTAAATATGGAATATAAATAAATAAACTGAAGATCAGTGAGAATTGTTTAAAATACTTGGCTGTTCATATTTCAGTAAACATTTAATAACAATCTAAGGCACAATTAGTTTTTAGTACTTGGTGGCTGAGTAATAGGCAGCAGCGTCCTTCTTAAAATATCACCAAAAAACGAACTTCTAATTTTACTATCAGCCTGCCATATGTAGTAACTACTGGCAAAGTCCCACCAATGCTAAACTCCATAGATTCAGCAGCGGACAGATAACGACTGATATGATAATGATGATATGTTGACCGTATGGTCCCGGTATAGAACAGGCCATCCCTTTCTTTCCCGTGAATGTCGTAAGAGGTGACTAAGGGAAGGCAAGGATTGGGCAGTAGCATCCACGAGCCAATCCGCCTGCTAAGCGTGGCAACTACTGGCCCCCCAAGGAGAACGCTTATGTTCTGCAGTGGACAGTTAAAGTCTGATATGATGATAGATTCTTCTTTAAATTACTTCTTTTTTTAATAAGTGTAAAAATTTTACTAAATAATTTATCTCTATAACTTTTTTTCGAGTTAAGTATTATAGTGTATATATTTTTTGTTTAACGGGTGAAAATGTAATGGCAACCCCGCCTGCGCTAACGGTATGCGCTGACTAGGCTAGTGAAGGGTGCACAATAAAAATGAAAACAGGCCAGTTAGGCCATCATGATAAATTCATCAGGATTAACCATGATAGTTTCCAGAGAGAACTTGGCTATATTGCTAGCAATAGGATTCTCGGGCTCCATTGGCAACAATCACTTTCCCCCCTAGTGTATGTATATATTATTAATATGTTTTATTAGGTTACGAGTAACTGATAACTAAATAAATAGGTGTTAACTTGTATTAGCCGTGGTCGTGTACAGGTAAAGGAAAAATAGTTTCAGTATATGAAATAATAGTATATACCTACACTAGATTAATATAAAATTCTCTTGCGATGAAGAAAGAAAGAGAGAAAACATTTATTGTTAACAATAAAACGAATTATATTTATTAATAATAGAAAACAAACTTCATATTTGTTATTGCCAATATGGCTATCACTCAACATGTGCTGCAGCAAATCAATTGCAACAGCGCTGATATTCTGTGGTAGCCATGCATGACATCATGAACGACAACAATAAGAAAAAAAGAAATAGAAATAAAATGGGACATAAAACATGTATGGGCAACATCCATATGTTGTCCACACAATTATGTATATTCATGTACATATATACGTATACATACACAGCACGCAAACATGCAAATACAGACATACATATGTTATTATACGTATATATAGATTAATGACGCAGCATAATTCATGAAATAATACAGTATTGAGAAAATCCATATTATACAATGAAACAGCATTGTTATACAATCATTCGAAATTACTTGCTTTATAATTTCAATGTATAAACATTGTAATAATAATTCTTAGCGTATTTTTTAAAAGTGTAAACAGTTTTTATAGTTTGTATAGGAGGCGGGATGTCTTTCCAGAGCTAGACCTTGTATATTTGAAACCAGAAGAATATACTTTCGGATTGATGCTGTAGAAATATTACATTTTACATAATCGATTTAGTAGCTTGATTTTTAAATCAAAATAAATGGTTCTTATACAATTGAAGTCGGTTTTATTTCATGGAACACATCCTGTCTTAACTATTTGTCCGTATAACCACAAACTTACATTTATTAGAATTAAGCAGTAAATAATAATTATTAGACTAACTCGAGATGCGATCCAAACTATCATTTAGCTTTTCAACAGCTTATGTTTTGTTACCAGGGTTAAAATTAATATGAAGCACTATTAACATCCAAATAAAACGTACAGTCTCTACTGTACGTTTTAATTTATATTATTATTTATTATATTATATTATTTATAAATTTGACCAGTCTATATGATTGTTTTTATTTTTTCTATTTCATCTGCTCAGTGGAGGTACTCTGTACCCGTACCAGAGGGTACTTTGTACAAAAGCCATTCAATATAGCCATCCAAGCAGATATGTTTGGATGGCTATATTTCAGTTGGAATGGTGAAATATGCCAGCAACATTACAAGGTAAGGGAGCATAACATTTTATTCCTTAACGACTGGCACGAGAAGTACCGTGGAATCATAGTAGTGTACGGTGGCCATTCTGCTTTTTGTGTCTATAGGTCACACTTTTCACTAGGTGGACTGTCAATTTGTCTGTTACAAATATGTGGATACATTATTAGTATATATATATATATATATGTATATATATATATATATATATATATATATATATATATATATATATATATATATATATATATATATATATATATATATATATATATATATGCAGATATGCAACTAATTGCTTTAATTATTTGATCAGGCGTATCATTCAATTTGACGTAATTCTGATGCTTATTTATCGGTTAATACATTATTGTGTTGTAAAGGTGATCTGAATTCCTTAAACGATACTTATGTATCGTTTAAGCAATGTCGTTTAAGTATTTGAATATTAAAGTATTCAGCATATGAACCAATTCAGTGATATGAATCAAGCAGTAAATTTAAAGTATGTGTAAAATTGAAATGAAAGGATAAAGGGCAGGAAATTATATTACGGTAGAGAATAATAATAGCTTTATAGAGTCATAAGGTTAGAGTACGTATATGTTATTTATCTTATTTGTCTACAATTATAACATATACAGTATCTGTTTTCTATGGTATTCATAATCCGGTATTTTAATTATGATTAAACATGACGTTGATAATTTTCCATAAAAAAAAGCAGGCAAATTTTTATTAATTATTTTATTTGTTTTCCAATGAAGTCCATGGCAACAAATTCAGGAAAATGTCATATAAATGGGATTACAAAGAATATCCGTATCACTGAAAAGGTTAAAAAGGTTGGCGAGTTATTTGATGAAAATTTTTGACACCGTTTACATGAATGGAACACTATTAGGTATATTTGTACTACGACGTTTATGCATCTCTCATGCATTGCCACAGTGTTGACTTAGGTAAATCTTGTGTACATTTTGTGGGTTTTCTATATTTATTTTCTTCAAACTGAAATTTATTGATGGACACATCTTAAGTACATACGGTGTATCAGGAAAGAAATAGGTGAATCTGGCTTATCTACTATTTATATTGTGATATATGTAAAATAATATTAATCTAATATATAGTACGGTCTATGGTATGATCATATATTTATTTGTTCTCGTTCTATTTGTGACTTAAAAGTGATCGAACTAAAAAAAGGCACCGTGCACGGTATGTGTATGTGCACTTGTATATGTACAAACATCATTTGTTTATGTAATAGTGGAATACAGTTTTTTTTTATTATGGAACGAAAAAAAAATTGTGAAATGAGACTAGAAGTATTCCTAACCCTGTACAAGTAATGCATTGAAGAACCACTATATATATATATATATATATATATATATATATATATATATATATATATATATATATATATATATATATATATATATATATATATATATATATATATATATATGTTATGTTATTATAGCATTAATTATAATTGGAATGCGATCATTGAATCTAAAATTGACTTTCATGGGAATTACTAATTTGCTTTAAAACATTTATCCGCTGGAGAGAATTCAAAATAGGAGGTTTTATCCTCTTTCAAGATAAAAGTTACAGTCGAATCGACCGATCATTGCTAATTATGATTACCTCCACCTCGTAAAAAGATAAAAGATTTTGTTTGAGAAATATCTCCCCTAAGTCGTACAAGCTAAGCAATCAATGAAGCCTTTTACAACGAGGCCATTTTTAATATGGATGTCATCAAATATACATAAATATAATAAATGTGAGTGAATTTTACTCGGATATGTTATTTGCAGTATCGAAGAAATCAGATTAATATATTAAATAATGCGTACGTAGAAATCGAACGTCTGAAAGTATAATTAGAACTTCAATAAATAAGTCTACTGTCTAAATTAGTTCAATCAAGAATTAAATAGGTAACATCAGCTTTGGAAACGTTCACATATTGTTACTAGTGTTTATCCGTGACATCGTCTGTATTTCCGAGACATTTTAAAATTACAATCCTAATTTCAGTCAATACTGAACAAAAGTAGTCGAACAGTTGAACACATATCTGAACATAACTTATAACCCCTTACTCTAGTCACAAAGGCGTATTACCTATTGTATCTTTTTTTAAATGGATACTTTCAATTTAAAAAGGTTATTTCTTATATCATTATATAATATATTGGAAATTGGTTATTGATACCCTCGGGTTGTAGGGTGCTACAAAATCTATTTTATATGAAGTCCAATTTATATTGCAAAATTATGGCATGAAACTAGCGAAATAACTATTTTGACAAATATACATTCATTAACTTTATAATATCAGCCGTTAATTCTCTACTGCTGAACACAGGCCTCCCTCTATTGAGGAGTTTTGTCAGTAGTTGCCACGCTTGGCAACTGTGTTGGCAACCACGGTTATACCTGGAAATGTTTTAAGACGGGCGTTGCTGCCCATCCCTTGACCATTAACTTTCCTTAGTTGTTTTTTTACGTGACCCACGAGAAAAGGAAAGGATAGCCTATTCTATGCCGGAACGACACGGCACATCATTATCATATCAGCTGTTATGTAACTGTCCACTGCTGAAAATAGGTCTCCTCCATAAGATGGATTTTTATCTGTACTACCCTTTATGTACGTCGTAATTAAAGCAATTTTGTGTACATGACGTGGGTCATGTCATGGGTATCACAGAGTATTCTGTGATGTCCATGCATGTGATTGTTCATGCCATAGAGGATGGGTACTTTTGCGTACTATTGCGTACTTTACATGGCTCCCCTAGCCATCTATTTGTTTGCTATTGTAAGTTGTATAAAAATTAATTTACCAAAAAACGTATTATTGAAACTAAATTCGACGTAACTGAAATTCGTCGAAACTAGTGTTACTTATGTACATTACGACTTTCGTTTCATGGCATCATATGATCATGTTTGAAACTAGTTTAAGAAGTTAGTTTCTTCATGTTGTAATTGTTATTAATTAAATTTAATAATTTTAGTTTAAATAGCTCAGAGCCACCATTTCGTTAAGTAAATTAAACTTTATTTGTCAGTTTCTAAACAAAGTATATAAAGTAAATAATAACAAGACCTTTGTTACTTACTGGTCAGTGGTGCCGCAGGCAATTCTGTTTGTGTTTCTTCTAGACGTATATCTTGTGGGCTTTCTGTAACAAAATATTTTTTTTGCAGTATATAAAATACATATCTATTTACATAAGTTATAATGAATTAGTAATACATAGTACAATAAACTTAAAACAATGGTTTTTAGGCACTTTTTGTGTGTTTATTTCTTATATTTTTTTTTTCGAAAGATAGTTTAACCACCGCCACAGATATATTAAAATATTAATTTTTCAAATCTATCTATTGTCGAGAAGCGTACCGTTTCTTCTTAACAATATATGATGTACGAAAAAAGTGTAAAATCCTAAAAGTAGAAAATTTGGAACCCAAGTTATGCTTTATAATTGTTATTTTATATTATACTATCTTTTTGCCTTTTTGCCCCCTGCTTCGTATGCGTGAATTTCGGACCAGTTCTGGATGGCGTATAAAGTACAGCAGAATTTATGTAAAACCTTGAGTAACACAACTGTTAAAATCATATCTAATTTAAAGCAGTAATTTTTAAGTAATACCGGATTAGACAAAAATTTTAAAAAAATATTGTTTTGACTTCTATTATTTTTATTAGAACGCTTCATATATTTTTTTCTTAAATATCTCTTATATACAGATATCGTCTAGTTACAATTTAATTATATTAATTATATAAGATAGTATATGTGAACAAAGTCTCGGGCACAGCATATAGATATGCATGATATAAATGTAACATTACGTAGTAAAATTACGATTACATTGTTTTGATATATTCAAGCTTTGTGTAAATGTACATAAAAAGGAAAAAGAAGATTTTTATCTTTTGTTTTTCTTAATAAATCATTCAGCGCTGTTCTTATCGAGGCTCGGTAAACAGATATTACGTTGAAGACGTTATAATATAGGAATTCTATTGAAGTGGTCTCACCTATTTATACTTCTTTCATTTTATACCAGTAACTGTTTATTATAATTTTTTTTTTAAATTAGCCTAGTATATAAGCTTTATATCTCTATTTATTTGTATTGCATACTCATATATTATTATGTATAAACAGTAAGAATAAAATAGATTCTTTTAATTATTAGTATATTTATGTCTGTATACTAATATTTTAAAAAATCTAATTAATTCATTATCCGATCATTAATTTAGCATAGATGGGTATTAGTCATGATATAACAATAATTTCAGATACCACGGGAACTATTTTGGACCGACTATATCGCATCCATCGATTATCTTCAATACATTCAAGGTTATAGCCCTGCAATACATTTGTCTGTAAAATGATCACTTGGGAACCATTCTTTTTCATCCCTTATCAGAGATCACTTTCATTTCAGAAGAATAATCGAAGATTGTATTTCACGAACAAAAACCAACTTCAATTGTGGCAAAATCAATATTGAAATTGATAAATTTTCTTCGGCACATAATTTTTATAGGTATGTCCTTGCATATAAAAAAGTATTTAGTTGATTTGGTTAATAAATGTCAGACTTATGACGTTATTACATAAGACTGTCATTTATTTGAAGTCGGTTGAAAATCTTTATAAGCTATATAATATGTACATTACTCAAATTGGATTCTTAAATGAGAAAAATGTAAATAGAATTAATTATTCACTAAAGCATGAAATTATTTTCTAATAAACTGACTTACAAAGGAACAATTCTAATGTATTTTTTTTGTCATCTGGATCACTCTTTATTACGGTCTTTCTTAAATCGAAATATCTGTATAATTTCCTTTTAATCAAAATTATAGACTCCCTTCTTAATACCATATAAATTTTGTCAAAAATATAGATGGGTTTTTTGGAATAAAATTCTTAATTATTTATGTCTACAAACTGACAATTAACAGCCAATTTTATACAAATTTACCCCCTTACCTTCTTTAAAAAGATATTTCTCATAAATAAATATTGTGATTGTCCCGCTTGGAGTTTAAACCACGGGCCCTTGGGGGCCGGAGGCTAGGTGATTATTTAAACAAATCTTTGACCGCTTGATCGACGTCTCCTGTGACCAAAGGGCTGTAGCCGACTTTGGTTAGCGAATAAGTCAGATACAAAGGGGAAATTCGGCCAGCTTTTTGAATATCATACCCAACGATGGCAATTTAGTGTCTATTTTCTATTTATTATTTTTATTTTAGTTATTAACAAACTTTTGTTTTGGATTTTATTCGTATATATAAATAAAATATAATATTGGTATATAATCACCAATTATATATTACTGTAATTTCAGCTAGCTGTTATATATCGTTTGTACTCAACTATCTACTGAATACCATGTCGGGATGACAAATTACCAGAATTATTTATTTCTTATTCTATTGGGCATTACTATTTTCTTGTTCTTTATAGGACTTGATTGTAGCGGTTCATGATGTCAAAACAAAATTATAATACCTAACTAGATACAACTAATGGTCTCTGTAATCCAGTTATTTTTACATACAAATAATATTTTTAAACAAATACAGAAAGGTATCTCAATCACAAAGTATTTTTTGTGCGTTTGATATCTTCGTCAATTCGGAGGCGATTTTGAGAATTCTTTTTGTAATAGTCAAGTAACAGTCTACTTCCGAATTTTATTCGTTATTTTTTCTTTCCAGAGCAATATTTCAAATTATTTCAACGGAAATCCTCTATGCACTGTGTGTTTTTCTAGTTAAATGTATATTTGAGGTTGTTATTGAAATGTACATAGTTACCTATATAATTAAGTACTGTAACAATATATTTTTACGGGATACGTTTCATGAATACTAAGTCGTTGCGGAGGAGGGTTGATATGGCAATTACGTTTTTGTATCTGTCTGAATAGTTATTTCTACAGTGGAATCAATAATGTATTGTACTAGGCTGTTAGCTTATAATATACTAAATGTATTTCTCTTTGCACTTGCCTTTGTACACATGATTTAGTTACTTAATTCGTTATTTACGCAAAATTTTTGTCAATAGTGTAATGTTGTTAAGACCGTATTTGCTTTTTCATTTATATTTTATGCAATACAAATAAATTGATATTTTATTACAAACAATCTAAATTAATCATGTAACATAGATATAGATTAGTTGTTCAAAGCTAATTTCGCGTAGGCATTTTAACATGATTACAGATTTCAGGGCAATTTGGCTTATTTTCGTTAAGGCAATACAAAAATCTCGCTCAATTTCCCACAGATTCAATTTATACAGTAAGTACAAATATCTATATAACCATTAAGTGCAAATAATATTTTACGTCTCTCTTTTCACACATCTCTCCCCTTCTGAAAACGAGAATACTTTAACTGCCATATTGACTAGGCTTTTTCCCTTTTATTTGTTTCACTGATTTTCTTACTTTTGACATTGGCTAGGTTTTTTATAGATTATAATGGAAAGGTAGCCTCGCCTGCGCTGACGGTATATGCTGGCAGGGCACCAGTGAGGGATAATAAGGGGAGAATGAAAAGGCAGGTCAGTCAGTCCATCATGACGAATACACCTGGAATTCATTGGCTCTTTTAATAATAGTACTATCATCTTAGTTTTCGGGTGAGGGGGAGGGGGAGTACTGGTGCCCCGCTGGTGTATATCGATAGCGCAGGCAGGGTTACTATTTCATTATCATCCATTAAAAAAAACTTAGTTCTCAGGTAATATACCGAATGACAAATACATTATGATTCCACATAGTGTATTTGTGCACAAATATAGTATAGATTTGAGTAAAGCTCCTTATATAATTTATACATATAATAAAATTGTGACTACTCACAATTTCATTATGCGTATAAAATATTTAGAAAGAATTCTGTTATATATTCAGTCAGTGCGATTCCTATAAGCCAGGATTTAGAGCGGTAGCAATATTGACGCAATGAGGCGCATGCAAATCCGGGGGGAAAAAGAAGGGAAATTACCTATTAAGAATTAACTAAACTGGTTTGCCTCGACTTAAGTAATTATGAATTACTGTACTTATTAATTGTAATATTAATGTACCGTGATGAGAAACTTCCTTACATCTCGTAAGAAAGTTTGCTAATAACGCTTAAGAACAAAAACAAATTAATTAAATATCTCTATTATTTGGAACTGCGTCGTAGATATTACACGGAAATATAGCGGAAATTGCCACAGGAATGTGCTTAGTATTTGTGTATGAAAGCGTGGATTAACCACATGTTAATTGACGGTATCAACAACTAGCAACAGTTAGTAGATAATTTGAGAATAGTTTCACACTTGATGACATGCAATGAGCATTATTAAATCGAACGATGCTGTGGTACGCAACTTCACATAATAGACACCTAATACCCCACAAAATCCAGGGTGAGATAAGCAGAGAGTACTGAAGGTTAAAGATCTCTTGTTTCATTCAATTTTATTTCTCAAGTCATGAATGTATACATGTCGTCGTCATTCTTGATTCCTTCATCAAATAGTGCACAGTTTATCTAATTATTGTAGGCCAATCTACAGAGATTAGAAATGAGCCTCTGTTAATTCCTGATTCTTTTCATTTATTTATTTTACATTTATTTCATTTTATTTTTATTTTTTGTGAATATGCTACATTAAACTAATGTGGCATCTTATTGAATTCGATAAGGAAAAAAGTTTTTCGAGTGATCACAACATATTCACATACAGTGTACAACTCCCCTTTACCAGACGGTTTGACGGTCTCAAATATGTTCCAATTTTTACTGGATATTATTTAGTTTATCTTTAGTTGCACCCTTGTCCATTTTAAAGTTTTCTTTTAGTTTCTTAAAGGTTAACTGTAAGAGATCCCTTTATGGGATAAGTTCGCCATTGTAGATTAAATATTTTAATGCATCCAATATAAATTACGGACAATAAATATTTTACAATACAATACAATAAATCAATAAGATAAAAAAATAATATAAATCGAATATATTAGTATATATTTTTGTATGGTAACCATATTGTAATTATAAATAAACAAAGTGATATCACAGTGTAAGTAATAGTACCGAAGTACATACATAAAGTACATGTAGATAGAGAGAGTG